GGGAGGGAGGGATGGGTGGTGGGAGGGATGGGAGGGAGGGGGGGGGGGGGGGGGGGGGGGGGGGGGGGGGGGGGGAGCAGGAGTTGGGAGCGGCGAGCGTGACATGAGGAGGTCAGTCGCGACTCACTGTAGGGAGAGTTGTGAGATGCGCCTATGCAAGGAGATGCAAGGGGCGTCGGAATCGCTGTGTAGGTAGAGAAGACGCGCCAGTGGAGATGTTGTTGTTGGAGGAGAGGAAGGATGGTAATGACAAGAGTGAGTGAGAGGGCGACGAGGACTGGTCGGAGGGTTGGCCTGGGTGGATGTGTGTGAGTGTGGACCGAGGGAGAGGGGGCCAGGGGGGGAGGGGATGTAAAGTTGGGTGGGATAGGAGACTATCGTTTCAAAATCGTGGTGGGAAATGAGCCAATACAATGGGATTAGGGGAGAGGAGAGGAGAGGAGATTGAGGAGATTGAGGAGACTGAGCACTTCGTGTTTGTTGTTGTGCTCGCTGCTCGCTGCTCGCTGTTGCCCGTCTAAACAAGACGACGAGGAGGGAGTGGGAGAGAAGAGAGCGTTCGAGGTGAAGAGTAAGAGGGCGTAAAGAGAAGAGAGAGAGCGCGCGTCAGCACTCTACTAACATCCAGGGTGCAGTGCAACGCAACCGTGCGACTTGCGCGTAATAGTCCATTAGTAGATGGCCACAATACAATACTGTACGCGCGAATACCGTAGACACATTTGGGACATTTGGATTAGACAGAGCTGCCAGGGGCTTGAGGACAAGGCCACAATGTCCAGGGCCATCGACGTGTTCCTCCTCTCTGATCCCTCTGATCCTCTGGATTCTCCTATGATGATGGTGAACCCTGGGGCCTGAGCGCAGCAGCATCCTTCTTCCCTTATGCCCTTTCCCTTATCACCCAAGCTTGGCCATCCTTGTTCTTAGACCTTGTACTAATGGACTCTACATCCCATTTCTAATTCCGCGTCGCCTCTCATCTCTCACTCTCTCACCTCTCTCATTCGCACTCTACTCTTACCTCGTCTGATCTCTCATCTTCTGAGCCTTCTTCCTCCCTTCTTACACCAACACATTACTACCGTTCTCCAGCTGACAACTTCTCCTCGTCACTACCATGTCGCCCTAGTCTTCCCCTCCACGGTGAGACGCAAGTCAGTCTCACCATCTGGCCCCGTGGGGTGGAGGGCAAAGAAGGAGAAGCTTTCTCTTCATTGCGCTCAGCTTCCCTACAGCGTCAGTGGCTGATGAGCCGATGAGGATGCCAGCTGCCAGCTGCCAGCTGCCAGATCGCCATAATTGGTGGCAAGGATCATGGTGGTGGCAGATGGCACAGCACGCGACGCGCGGCGCGCCAGACGTCAGCTCCGAACCACGGCTTCGGGGTGGTGGTCTAAAAGGAAGGTGGGGTCGTTGAGGATCCGAGATGGCGCGCGCACCCGAGACGCGTCACGCTACGTGCGTGACTTTTCTCAATCTCCACTAATACATGAATCGACTCATTGGTCTCTCAGGCATGTCAGCTTGTTAGGCAACCCAGACTCACCGGCTAGCAATTCAGCAAACTCCCTGTGCGCATAGAGTAAATCCTGGAGAAAGTGGAAATGATAATGCCTCTCGCAGTACATCACGAGAGTCATGAGGGCATGAGGGGATTTATCGCTCAAAAACCGCGTGGATACTAGAGGACTGAGTGGTTTCGTGTACAGCGCGAGCATGGCGGTCAGTGGGGAGTAGACAGAGCCTGTGATTGACTTGCAAGCTCAGGCAACAGCGCGATAGACTTGCGCTGGGAGATCGGAGATCGGACAGAGGTTCAGGCGAGCATAGCGCATTGAGGTTCTGCGTCGTTGCTCTTGCCCCTCATTGATCATTCATCATCGAACGGCTAGCTCTGACCTGCACTTCTCTGGACTAGGATGTCGTGCCAGATGCATGCCAGCGCTCGGGAGAAAATGGTGTACGGTAATGCGCATCCCAGATATCACACATGCTCGATATGGCCATAGATATCAGGTCGCAAACTGATGACATACCGAAGACGACGCACAGACGTCAAGGCTCAGGGTTGTCTAATTTAAATGCCCCCGACGTTTCAGCCATAGTCCCTCACGTGGACAATCAAGTCGCCTAAACCACAAGAAATCAATGATCAATGACGTGTGCCACTCAACGCACGTGGAGATATTACACGTGTGCTTACCTAATAACATCCTTCACATCCACCCACAACAACATTGAATTGCCCAGATGGCACAAACACTCCCAAACACCGCTCATACGGCTCACATATCGACTACTCCACACTCCTCCCACTCCGACTCTCACAGCATCATCCATCCTCACATCCACCTGGAGCCACCTCCTCCAAGCCAGGTGAACGATCTACCTGCCGTGGAGCGTTATCCCCTCCTTCGCGCATTGCCACCCGCCATGCCCTCCTTCGACGTTTCTTCCCCCGCACCCACACCGTCGAGGTCAACCACCCTCGACCAGTCGGACACCGACTTTGAGATCGACTTCTCTTCATCCGATGACGAGGCCGGCGTGTTCTTCGGTACCCCCAAGCCCGTTGAGAGCAAGATCCTCGCCGCGCTCTCAAAATCAATATCCTCCACCCCTTTGACACGAGAGCGGCCGCCAGCGCCACGTCGCTCCTCGGCGCGCCTGCCAAAGCGCGACTCCCGCGAGTTTCTCCGCCGCAAAACCCTTTTGCTAAGTACGCCCGGCGCTGGGCCTGCAAGCGAGAAGATGTGGGAAGGTGGATTCGTTGAGCGCCCGGAGGATGTCGACGACGAGCCTCTCCCAGGACCCAGCACACCCATGGTTGGCCATGAAGACATTGCGGTTGACCTGGACACCGTCCAGCTCGACACATTTCCTTCCTCCCCCGAGGTCACCTACTTGGATGCCTTCTTCAACGAGGAGGAGGAGGACAAGGAGAACTCTGCTGTACCTGAGGAGTGGGACGGCGATCAAGAGTACGACTCGGAAGACGCTTACGTCCCCGCGCCCCCCGAGGGCGTTCCCATGTCCTTAGGATTCTGTGACGGCCAGTATGACCTCGGTATGTTGAATCGCCGGCGCATCCTGACCTCAGACATGTCCCCGGGGCTCGACATGGGCGGCCTCAGCTTGCTCGACATTGATGATCCGGAAGAGATGCCCTTCGAGTTTGGCAATGAGACCGGGGGCGCAGGGCTGCGTGTGTTTCTAGGCGCCAGCACTTCGAGCTCCGGCTCGAGCATTGCATCGGCCAGTGGGGCGTTCTCGCTCCACCCACACACACTTTCCCCATTCCGCCGCCGGCGAAGGCACTCCCAATCTAGCGGAGCAGGAGATCTCGCGCACGAGAACCTTGTCTCAGAGGGCACAAGCGACCGCGAGGACGAGGGCGCCGATGAGGTGCTAGATCGTCCAGATGTCCCCATTCTCGAGGAGACAACGGTTGACAGTGTACCCGCCGTCATTGGTTCCGATCCTGCACCCTCCGATCGGTCTGAGGCTGCTAATCTCGACATGGAGTCTACCGGTGCTCAGGAAACTCCTGAACTGGAGGCATCCATCCTTGATGGATCATTCTCTTCGCATGAGGACTTGGCGGACGGCAGCTGCAGCCACAGCAGTCCTAACCACCCGCGTGCTCATTCGCCTTTTGAGAGCCTGGACATGTTCTCTGCTCTCGCCAAGGCCCCATCGTCGGCAGCTAAAGCGCCTACATTTCTCGACACGACGGCCGACTTGATAGCGTTCACCCCGCTCAAGCCCAATGGACGAACGCACCTTGAGGTTGACTCCGATTCGTCGTACGTATCAGAGGTGGACTCACCTCGCGCTCCGATAATGATACCCGTGTTCACGGTCGCGTCGCCACCTAGACAGCGGTTGGCGCGCGACCCAGAGCCTATGCTCGTCGACGATATCGCTCCGCTTGATGACGACCTCGGCTCCGCTGTTGCCCTGCCTACGCTGGATGGTCCGTTCGGATTGGTACTCTCGCCCTTTTCTCGCGCACCTGCTGCGAACACCACGCCTGGAAAGAGCCCGAGCAGGCTACCTGTTCTGTCGCCGGTACAAAGCGCCAAGGCGCAAAAGACTCTTGCCCGGACAGCCGCGGCTAAAGAGCACCTCGAGAACCTCTTCTCCTCCAAGCTCGGAAAGTCGCGTCTCGGCGAGTCGTCGTCGAAGGTTCAGCCGCCAGTCAAGCGCGCGTTGGTTACATCGCGTTTGCCGTCCAAGGCGACTATCCAGTCACCGCAAGTGTTCACCAAGTCTAAGGAGGAGCCAACCGCAAGGACTCGTATCCCGTCGCCCGAAGCGCCATCGAAGGGCAAGGGCAAGGCCCCAGAGAAACCGCTCAAGTCCATCCTCAAGTCGACGAGCAAGGTCACTCAGCCCAAGCCGTTTGCCTTGAGTGCTCCGAGGCAGAAGGTTTCTGTGAAGCTGTCCGCGCCTGGCCAGTCGGGCTTACCCCGGCCCACTGCAGCAGTGGCTTCAAGCCTCCCGCGCCCCGTGTCGAAACGGCCCGACCCTCAGGTATCAACTTCCACTGACGCATCGTCCACTTCCAAGCTCTTCCGCATAACGCCGAAAATGCCAGTCGCTCGGCCCGTTGAGGCTGGCAGTTCAGTCAAGCGGCCTCCTACCGCCAACGGCATGGCGATGGCCCGTGTGATGGCTCCCGTTGGCCCCAGCATGGCTTCGGCCTCTCGCTCGGCGCTGGGCTTGCCCGCGAGACTTGCGCGCGACCAGTCTGGCGACTCCGCCGCTTTTGCGTCGAGCATGAGTACCGGCAGCTCCTCTGGCGTCCTCTTCCACCCCCCAGCAAAATCACCTGGGAGGATGATGTCGCCGCCCAAGCCAGTCCTGGGCAAGCCCCAGCGAGCCACGGGCATGACCCCTATCTCGAGCCGCATGATGGCTACGCCCCAACGTGGGGTGCCTACTCCTTCCAAGGTCTTCAAGGTAAAGTTCGGCCGAGTAGACAGTTGTCTGACAATCAGCTGGGCACACCATCACGCCCTGCCGCTACACCGCTGAGGCACCGCACTCGCATGATGCCCGTGTCCGAGGAGAGGCGGCTTAGCTGCACTCCCATCCGTGGAGAAGAGCCACCCACTCCACTGAGGGTGACTCACCCGCGGATGGAAGTAGATGAGCCTCCCGCGACGATGGACCCTGTCGTCCAGCCTCCCGAATCCGATATGCCTGCACACGCCCGGGCTCGGATCATGGCATCGCCTCTCCCGACCAAGTCGGATGCGCCTCCATCACCCCCCGTTCAAGGTACTGCAACACTGTCGCCTGAAGGTGGCGAGAGCGCGGAGAACGCTCCGCCTTCCGACAATGAGGGGGCGTCACCGACGGCGGATGCCCCTCAGTCATCCGGGGAGAACTCGCCTGATGCATCTGCAACGAGCCCGCCGCCACCTGACAACTCACTCAAGGATGCGGAGGGATCGCAGGACACGGCCCAGGAGGCTGAGGCCGATCCGCCCGAGACACGTCGCTCCAAGCGAACTCGCTCTGCGCCACCATCACAGTCGCAAGAGAGCCCGTCCAAGAAGGCCAAGACTGCGGCTGCCGAATCAATCGTGCCCGGCCTGACTGAGCGCGCGCTGCGGAGCGCGACGACCCGCAACACGGCTCGCAACCAGGTGTACCTTTGCACGATTGACCGCAAGATCGTGCGCAAGCCGGGAGAGCGGCCTCCGTCGCCCAGCCCTGGGGTGAGAACGATTTCGGAGCGCGACGCAGAAGAGCAGAAGGAGGGCAGGAATGCGCGGGCGAAGCGGCGCGCACGCGCGAGCGTCGGCGAATCCGAAGACGAGGGGGCGGCGGGTGACGACGAGCCGTCCATTGAGCGGGCAGTGCTCGGACGGCGCGGGCCCGGCGACGACGAAGAGTACAAGACGCCGGCGCGGCCCGCCAAGCGCGCCAGAACCAAGAACGGCTTGAGCAACGACGACGGGTCCAAGCGCGTGCGGTGGGACGAGGGGCTTCTCATCATCCGCCGCGGGTTGGGCGATGTGAAACACAGCCGCCGCCCGCCGCCGCGCAGGAGCTGCGTGACGCCGCGCGCGCGGTACGAACTCGACGAGCATGGCAATGCCGTGAACCGGCCCACGGAGAAGCTGAAGCGCACGACTATTACTGTCCACGCGACATTTTACGATGGCGAGGAGCCTGTGGCGTTCAACTACAACAAACCGGCGAGCGGGAAACGGAGGGGAAAGAAGTAAGAGAGGGAAGAAGTACCCACGTCAGGATGAAGTCTTGTGTTGTGGTTGTGCGGGCTGTGGAAGGCTGGGATACGCGAGGTGTGAGACTGAGTGAGCGGTCTGGCGACCAGGTAGGTGCCTTGATGTCGCGCCCGACTGCTGTCGTGCAAGTGCGATGTGTCACCCGACTGTTCGGCGGTGCATGCAGATGTACAGTATGTCATCACAATATGGCCTGTAGAGACGAGTGAACTGAACGTCGGTTGAACGAGTGCCACAAACGACACGTGACCAACACCAATGTTGACACCTTGCCATCCCTCATGCCCATCTACGCCTTCGGCGCAACCCCCGCCGGCCGCATCCGCGCCCCGACACAAATCTACCCGCTGTCAGGCGACGACGACGCGCGCGTCGCCTTCCACAGCTGGACGCATACGCTGCTGCACACGCGCGAAGGCCTCCTCCAACTCCCCGACACGCTCCTGCCCTCCGCGCTTGTCGTGGGCGGCGACAAGCCGCAGATGGTGCACATAGACTCTCCCGAAGGCAGATGGGACGGCGTCGCCGTGACGGACGCGGGCCCCGCCCTCGGTATCTCTGGGGGCGGGGTATACGTCCTCCCGCCAGCCTCCCCCGCTCACTCGCGTACGAAACCGGCCTCGCCCACGAATCTCGCGTCGCTCGAGAAGCTCGAGCACCCGCTGCTGCGCGGCCGCATGGCGGCCGTCGCGACCGAGAGCCGCGCCGCGATCCTCGCGGGCGGCGAGGTGCTTGAAGTCGTCTGGGAGTGGCGGGGCGGGCGCGTGCGCCTCGAGGTCGTCGAGGAAATTGGTGGGCTGGACGTCCAGAGGATCGTGGCCGGGCGGGGGGATAGGATTGGCGCGGTGACGCGCGCGGGGGAGGCATATGTCCTCGAGCCTGGTGGCGATGTGCGGCGGATCTCGTTGCGGGAGAGAGAGGAGGGAGGGGAAGAGGACGGTGCGGTGAGCGATGAAGGAGAGGAGGCAGAAGAGGACGCAGGAGGAGACGCCGCCGACAACGACGACGACGACGACGACAACGGCATCACTGACCTCGCCCTCGGGCCCGACTATGAGCTCGTCCTCGCATCTGGAGAGGTGTGGGCGCGGGGAAACAGTCAGTACCACCACAGCTCCGCTGACGACAGACGACTTTGGCCAGCTCGGGCAAGGCCATACGCGCACAGTGGAGGGATGGGTGCGCGTCCCGGTGCCGCCGGCACGGAGGGTATTCGCGGGGCGCCTCTCGGCTGTGGTCGAGTGCGGAGCAGGAGCGTAGGCGATATGATTGTGATTTTATGATGTGGGGAGCACCGAGGTAGAGGCTTGTACATAGATCATGTTCATGTCGACCGAGGAGATAGCCGATCAAGCATCAAGCAGGACGACATTCCGGACACCGCAGTGGAAAGAGCGATGAGCCGGACATCCGGAATAGGTGGGCCGAGCATGGGCTTGCCTAGGCCGAGTATCCGCCAGCCGCCAGACGCGTCTAGCACAGCAGCATTAGTAGTTTCTGCATGTGTCAGATGTCCTTGCCTTGCATTCAGAGATCCACAGAGTCGAGGTACCGCCGCGCACGCCGCGGCGAGAGACAGCTCTGGCTGGTGCTCGGCCATGTCCGCCCGGCCGCCGGCATAGCATGTTGGTTGCCGGGCTACCCGGAAGAAGGCCGGCATTCGGTAAACCCCACACTCTACATGGCCCCCCTCCCCGCGCCCATATGTAACCTCGTCGCCCACCGTCTTGCTTTCTCATCTCCCTCCAAATCACACAGCAGCAACAATGGGCAAGGCTTACGGTGAGTGTCTTGTTCGAGCGGACACGGCGTCGGCAAGTGGGGAGGGAGCTGTGGGCGGCCTTGGACGGCGTGGTGCCATCTGCACGATGGCCGCGGTAGCGATGTCGGGCTCTTACTCAGCCGGCTGGCAGCGATTCCCAGCCCCGCCGTCCCCGCCGCCACCCCCACGCTCCCTCTTCAACGCTCGCCGCGTTGCATCACGCCCGCCCAACCACCACTGACGCGCAGTTATCGGTGTCGGTTCGACCAAGTTCGACAAGCCCCGCGGGCTGCGCGAGTACGACGACCTCGGTGTCGAGGCTGCCGTCAAGGCCCTGATTGACGCCGGCATCACCTACGACCAGGTCGAGTCGGCCGCGGCCGGCTACGTCTACGGCGACAGCACCTGTGGCCAGCGCGTGCTCTACCAGCTCGGCATGACGGGTATCCCCATTGTCAACGTCAACAACAACTGCTCCACCGGCTCGTCGGCCTTCATCCTCGCCGTGCAGTCCGTTGTGGGCGGGCAGGCCGAGTGCGCGCTGGCTGTCGGCTTCGAGCGCATGGCCCCCGGCTCCCTCGGCTCGGCGTACAAGGACCGCCTCTCGCCCACCGAGGGCACTAACCGCCAGCTGGTCGAGATTGAGAACTCGAAGAACTACGCTACCAAGGAGAGCGGGCCTGGTGCGGGCCGCATCTTCGGCGCCGGCGGCCTCGAGTACTGCGAGAAGTACGGCGCCACCCAGGAGCACATGTACAAGATCTCGGCCAAGAACCACGCGCACTCGGCCAAGAACCCGTACTCGCAGTTCCGGTTCACGCCCACGTGGGAGGAGGTGGCCAAGAGCCGCAAGATCACGCGCGAGCTCACGCTCCCCATGTGCTCGCCCACGTCTGACGGTGGCGCCGCCGCCGTCGTCGCGTCCGAGGCCTTTGTCAAGAAGCACGGGCTCGAGGACCGCGCCGTCGAGGTCGCCGGCTGGGCGTTGACGACCGACGCGCCGATGCTGTACGACGCCAAGAGCCGCATCGAGCTCACGGGCGCCGACATGGCGCGCCGCGCCGCCAAGAAGGCGTACGCCATGGCCGGCGTCACCCCCGCCGACATCCAGGTCGTCGAGCTCCACGACTGCTTCGCGCCCAACGAGCTGCTGACGTACGACTCGCTCGGCCTGTGCAAGCCCGGAGAGGCGCACAAGATCGTCGACGCCGGAGACAACACGTACGGCGGCAAGTGGGTCGTCAACCCCTCCGGCGGCCTCGAGTCCAAGGGCCACCCCCTCGGCGCCACCGGCCTCGGCATGATCTTCTACCTCACCCTCCAGGTCCGCGGCGAGGCCGGCAACCTCCAGGTCCCCAATGTCCGCAACGCCCTGCAGCACAACCTCGGCCTCGGCGGCGCCTGCGTCGTCACCGTCCTCCGCAAGCCCAGCTTCTACAAGAAGGGCTCCACCTCGGCTGACCGCTACGGCTACAACGTCGCCAACGAGGTCCGCGGCATCACCAAGGCCGACCTCAACAAGGTCCGCGCCAAGCTCCACTCTGACTACATCCCCGTCAAGGTCCAGGACGCCGCCCGTCTGTAAAAGAATGCGAGTGCGAGTCTGAGTGCAGTGATAGGTGTGAGCGCGGGCTAGCCGCGTTAGCACAGTAGTGGTCTCTTGTCTAGGTTATAGGGGAGATTGTCAGACGTATGAATCATATGGGACAAAGGGTGGTGGAGATTCTGGATACCGATGGTCTGCTTGCGTGGCGACCCGGAGACATGATGAGACTTGTCAAAGTCGACACGAACGCGTAGCTGCAGTGCGAGAGGGCAGAATGGTATATCATTGAGCGCACGTTGTCAGATGATGTCTGTTCTTGACCACCCCTGTGGCGTTAATGTACACAAGCTTCCTCGCGCTCTCACTGACCTACTCACACACCCTCCTCTACGGGGCGACCACCAAATACCAATACACCGCCAAAGTTTATGCATTATATATTATCTCGGCGGCGCCCTCTAGAATACAATATCCAGCCACTGTCCAATGATACAATTGTCTTACAGAGCAGCAGCGAGCACGGCCCCAAGAACCACCACAGCGCCGACGCTTACCGTCGCCGCCCCACTCGTAGCGTGCTCAGCCGAGTCACCAGGCCAGCCAGGTACGTCGGGTACGCTCGCCGTGGCTGTGGTGCTGGGACGCGCACTGAGGAGGCTGACAACGGGCGGCGTAGATGCCGAGTACAAGCTAGCGGGCGCGAGGCCCATTGTCTGCGGCGCGCCGGTCTGCGGAGCGGGCGTGTTGAATATGTACGACGGCACGGGGTAGTTGGGCCCCGTGATGAGGTAGTTCGGGAGCGTCGTGCCAACCGTCTGCGTCATGGATGCTGGGGTGACAGGTACAGGCGCGCTGCTCGATGATGCTGGTGCAGCGTCCTGGAGGGGAAGGAATCCAATCTGCGGCGCTTGCCCGCCGTTGAAGCCGTAGTTGAACATGGTGTACGTGCTGCGCAGGAAGGGTGTGCCCAGCGTCCAATCGACACCGTCACCAGTCTGCGGCACGGCCACCGGCCACGCGAGGCAAAAGGAGGAGCCGGCCACAGCGGCGTACATCCAGTCACTGGGTTGTAGGGTGACAAATCGCCCTCCAAATGAGAAGCCGAGCGTTGCTTTGGTATCGCAGGGCACAGCCCATTGGCCAGTCGCTACCTGCCGCGCCATCTTGATGTTGCGGAAGATCTGAGCGACATCCTGCTCAGGTCCGTACAGGCCGTTAGATCCTGCATCGATAACCGCGATGGACGGAATGCCTTGGCTGCGATATGTCGAGTTTACAGGCATCGCAGTGCCGTTGACCGCAACGTGAGTCATCTGAAGCGCCCAGTACAGGTAACTCTCGCTCTCAAGCTCAGCCAGAGACTGCGGGACTCCCCCAACACCCGATGGCGAGGGCATTGCGGACGGCGACAACGACGGACCTGCCCCGGTCGTATTCAGAGGTGCAAACGGCACGACCGGGTGCCATTCGATGTCGTTGACAGTCCGCCCCGTTGTCGAATTGGACGAAACGTAAAGCTCTGAGACGCCGCCGATGGTCAGCGAGCCGACTCGGAGAGAGTAACGGCTGCGTGCCCCATTGGAGACTGCGTCGGGAGCAGGGAACGAGTAGTTGGCGGGAGGCGAGAGCGCGAGACCAAACGCGGGGAAGGGCACAAGAGCCTGAGTGACGAGCGACTCCAGAACCGGGGAAAGATACGCCGACTGGCCGGCGCTAGAATTGGCACTGGGGCTGGCGCTCTGACCAACTGCGCTGCTCTGTTGGCGGCGCTCGGGGGCGGGTGATGGACTCTGCCCGCCCAGCACAGAGTCGGGGGTTGAGGAAGGTGTACCTATTGATGTGGACCCGGTGAGGTCCTCCATCTGACTCGCTGCAGCATGGACCGATGACGGCGCGGGCGCCGCGCCACGCGAAGCAGCATTTGACTGCAGCAAGATCCGTGAAAGCGTCGAGAGGCGGGGGAAGCCGAGGCCAATGATGCCGGATATCTGCTGCTCGGACATTGTAAGGTTGGTTGAGTTCATGAGCCCGAACACCTGCCCGTCGATGGACACGGTAGAGATGCCGACACGCTCACGCGCAACAAAACCGCTGGCGACCGTGCCATCGCCAAATGCGCTATGCCACAACGTGTCGTTGTTTCCCACAGCCACGAAGGAGGATGAGTGGTACTTGAGGTCGTAGTAGGGCGTGGACTCGGTGTCTTCGGGGCAGTTGTGTCCGCACCCTGACGATGCAAGGAGGAGATCCGAGCTACCTGTGTCGAGCTGCAGCGGGTAGGCGATCCCTGGCGTGCCAAGGCCGATCGGGACGACGTATGTGCTGCGGTGAGCGGTGTTCTGGGGCTGCCTTGCGCTGCGGGAACCTTGGCATGATCACTCACTTAGCGGCCGAGCCAAGGGCGATGATAGATCCGTTGGCAGCGCGGCGCTCGAGCTTTGGGCGCTCCTGCTCGTGGACGCCAACAGAGAGTCCTCCGACGCTGAGGTGAGGGGCGGGGGCACGCTTGCTATGCCTCGACCCTGCGCAAGCGCGGTAGCCTCGAGCGCGCTGGGGAGCGTGGGCAGGAAGGTCGCGCAGGTCAAGTTGGTGAAGGTCGCGCTCTTCGAGACCGAAAGCCAGCGGCAGGAGCACGAGCACGAGGGCCGACACGTACATCGTCGTGATGATCGCAGTGGTGCTAGATGGGATTCTCAAGCTGTGGCTCGTATCTGTGAGGGGTTCGAAAAGAGGGAGGAGGGAATGGATATTATGAAAATGGCGGCATCGAGAGAGTTGAGGAGGTGCGAGATGCGCGCAGCGGCGGCGGCAGTGTTGAGATGGTAGAGAGCTGTGCGACACGCGGGGGTGGCTGCGGGGAATGTATTCTTGGCCTTTCGAATCCGTAGATCTGCGGCAACTCAAGAAGACGAGGAGACGTGAGTGGTGCGGGATGTGCGTGTGATGGTAGAGAGCGTAGTAATAGAGCCGTTCGATGCAGAAGAGACGATGCGAAGACGAGGAGATGAGTGAAAGAGGAGTGTGAGAAGATGAGGAGAACGGTGAAGATGCAAGCTGCGACAGGCATTGCACGGGCGGGTGCCTGTTGTTTGTTAAGCGCAAAGTTCCGCCGCAGTTTGCGGCCTGCGTCCTCCCTCCCCTGCGGTACACTTGCCACTCAAACCGTGCTTTGCCACATCTCCAACCTCTGTGTCCGCCGTTCCATGCGGCCCAGTGATGTTAGCTTGGGCGCGCCCACCAGTTCTCACTCGAGATGGCTGGTCCCAGTTCATATGTGAAGCGGCAGTAGCCGTGGAGGCGGAGAGGGCAAGCACAGTGGCAACAGGGTCGCCACGCCTGCCTTTGCACGCGACATCAAACGAACGAGAGCCACCTCGCTAATCTATTGCATGGACACTCCTACTCGCCACACTCTTCACATTAGCTGCTCTGATGACCTAGAACGCGTCGTCGTCGTTGTCCTGCCCGAACCAGCCAGAGTAAACGAGAATTGTGCCGTAGACAAGCAGGCCACCTGCGATCGACATCCAGCACGCTCCGGGCTGGATGACATCCGAGTGCTCCAGGATAATGGGGAGGCCAAAGCCGGTCGCCTGGAGTCAGCAGTTGCAACGAAGTGCCGTGGACGCCATCGGACTACGTGGCCGCAATTGCACACCAATGCTGCCAGGACGTTGCCGCCGCCTCCGACGTGCAGCTGGACAATGCGGAGTTACTGGGTGGAACCCAGGTGTTAGAGCAAATAACCTAGACGTCCAGGAGCCCTACGCAGCGCTAGGTGTCCGATGTGCACCTAGCCGTGTCTGATGGCCACCTCGTCTGACGACTGTTCAGGACAGTGGTGTCGTCGGCCGGAGAAGGCTTGGCACACGCCGCCAATCTCGCCGCAACGAGACTGCTCCGACCGCCGATAGCGGCAGCCCGTTGTCCTCCATCGCCTCCGCGTATACACTGTCCGCCGTCCTCTATCCGCTACACCTGCCCTGACACTAACCACAAGCACACCGGTGAGGAAACGCCCAAAGTCGACGTATGCCGAGTTGTACTCCGGCGAGATATCGTCGGCGCGCGCGCACCGGTAGCAGATCGAGTTAGGCAGAGGGGCAAGGACGAATGTGAAGGCTGGTGTGAGTTGCTGCACTACACAATCTTGCTGCGACACTCACCGACAAGCAGGGGCAGCCAGTTGTTCCACAGCGCGCAGCTGAGGATCACGAGGAGGAAGCCCGCGGCAAGCACGAACGACAGGAAAATGACGGCTGGCGGAGGGAGCAAAGTGGTGATGTGGTGAGGAAAGCGGACGTTGAGAGTGTGAGGTGAAGGTGAAAGGCGTCAGCGATACACTTCTCGGCGTTGACTGAGCCAGCGGCACACCAACAATGATACGCGCTGTGACAGCTGGCAATCTGCACGCCTCATATCAATAGTACGCAAAGTCGACTTACTCTTCAATCCCGCAGCCATGATGGATGGAGTTGAACAGGAGGCGGCGAGGCAACAAGGCGGAAGTCGATGATGGTGAGCTGAAGAGGTTGAGAGGGTGTCGAGCTCACAAGGTGATGAGGTCAGGCCGGTGGCAGCTGAGCGGATGAGCCTGATACCTGCGTGGTCTCCACGTGGGCAATGCTGAGGATGACATGTGCGGCAGTTTGCGGAGATGTGGGGCTTTTTTCCGCAATTAACCGGTGCGATTTCGACTCATACTTGCCGATCTAGCCGCACTTTGTTCTGACTCGACCGCCCAGCTCAACCAGCACAACCAGCCAATACTCGAACACAAATTGCATCTGGTTTCACCAACAATCTCTGCTCTTGCAATCTACCCTCCCGCCTCCATCTCACTAAAGAATGCCTGCTAGCGGCTACCAGACCCCTTCGCTCCGCGACGTAAGCGGCACTTTTTTGAGCCTGCTGACTTTCAGGCCGTGGAGGCGCTCGACGACCGCCGCGTCAAGCGTATCCGCCCCCTCATCCCGCCCCAGATCCTGCTCGAGGAGTGCGCTGTCGCATGTGCATCGCTGACGCCAGGCTCCCACTCACGCTCCGTGGCGCCCAGACTGTGATGGACGGTCGCCAGCAGGTCGAGGCAGTGGTCAAGGGCGAGGATGACCGTCTCCTCGTAGTTGTTGGGTAAGCCTCACGAGCCTCATTTCGCCTCCGCCATGGCGTCGCTGGCCGGGAAGGGGCTGACAGCAGCCCATGCTCTGTGCACGACCCCGAGCAGGCGCTCGTCTACGCCAAGAAGCTCAAGGCGTACGCCGAGGAGGCGCAGGAGGACCTCATGATCGTCATGCGTGTCTACTTCGAGAAGCCCCGTACCACCGTCGGGTGGAAGGGTCTCATCAACGACCCAGACATGAACGGCACCTTCCAGATCAACCGCGGCCTCAGGATGGCCCGCAAGCTCATCCTCGACCTTACCGAGATGGGCCTCCCGACTGCGGGCGAGTTCCTTGGTGAGTCACGGTGCTTCGACGGGGTCCAGACACCCGGGCCCGAGTTCATGCACGCTCACATCAGACGTCATCTCGCCCCAGTACCTCGCCGACGTGACCTCGTGGGGCGCCATCGGCGCGCGTACCACCGAGTCGCAGGTGCACCGCGAGCTTACCTCGGCGCTGTCCATGCCGGTCGGCTTCAAGAACGGCACCGACGGAAGCATTGACATCGCCGTCGACGCTATTAAGTCGGCTATGTCGTCGCACACCTTCCTCTCCGTTACGAAGCAGGGTCTGATTGCCATCGTCGAGACAGAGGGCAACGACACGACGCACGTCATCCTCCGCGGCTCGACCAAGGGCCCCAATTACGCCGCCGAGTTCGTCGAGGAGGCCGGGAACAAGCTCAAGAAGGCCGGCCTCAACCCCCGCCTCATGGTCGACTGCTCGCACGGAAACTCGAACAAGCAGCACCAGAGGCAGATCGACGTCGGCCGCGACATTGCCCAGCAGCTCGCGAGCGGCGGCTCCACCGCCTCGATGATCCTGGGCGTCATGATCGAGTCCAACATCAACGAGGGCAACCAGAAGATGCCCCCTGAGGGTCCCCAGGCCCTCAAGTACGGCGTCTCTATTACCGACGCCTGCATCTCCTTGGAGCAGACTCTTCCTCTCCTCGACGAGCTCCGTGCTGGTGTCCGCGCCCGCCGTGCTGCCGTCAAGGCCAAGCATGCGCAGCAGTAAGAGGTCCGGCATCAGGTGGTTCTCGTCGGTGTAGTCTCTATCTTGTAGTAAAAGCGGATTCGTAGCGACCTATGCAGCTGCACCGCCCGTCTCTTCCTCTCTCTTCCCTGTTCCTTCCTACTCATTGGATTAATTGGACTTCCATGCATGTAATGTTTGAGGGTAGAATGTCTGAACGTGGTGTGATGCCTACCAGTACAACATACAACATCTATACTTCTTCCAGCACCCTGGCCTCGTCATAGTCGCTGTCCGTGTCCATGGCCTCACTAGCCTCAACGCTCTGCCCATCTTCTGCCACTGACTGGCCATCGCTGTCGGCCACATCCTCATCTTCATCTCCCTCTTCATCCTCGCCCGTGTCCTCTTCATCGCTGTCAGATTCTGAGAACACCTCGCCCGGTAGGCCGATGAAATCGGCCTGATCCTCAAAGCTGCCAGATGCCTCCGGATCCGGCGTCTTAGTAGCAGCGACAGCCTTTTTGAGCTTCTCGGCGTGGACCACATGAGTAAGTCCACATCTGGGCTGGCGGGAACACGTCCCTTTGGCGTGAAACTCTGGGCACTCCCAAACATGAAGCTCGGGACAAGTACCAGCCTCACGATCACACCAGCCCTCACGAGCAAACTGTTCACACACAGGCGCATCGTTTGCGACACGCACGTGAGGGTAGGGGCACTTTGGGTTGAGGCAATTGGCACTGGCTTGGAAGTGAATGCAAGACGGCGTGTTGTGGGCGGATGGCTTGTGAGAAAGCGGGCACGACTCGCCTAGGCTACAGCCTTTCTTGCTCAAAAATGCCGGACATACCGAAAGGCGGTCAGGAATGTGCTGGTAAGGACAGGTCAGGGCGCGATCGCAACGACCTGGGGTTAGAAGTCAGTACTAGAGAAGAGCGTTCGGCCACGATGTTTAAGGATGAAGCAGGCAGCACGCACCTGTCTTGGTGTAGTACCGACAGGGCTTCGTGGCCTGTTCGGCGCGCTTAGCCTCGAGACTGGAGTCAGAAGGGCCTTCAAGGTGGGGTCTGATCAGCAAAACACACGCTGCTCTTGACACGAGATTGCCGCGCTTGGTTCGGCGGTATTGCTGGCCGCCATACTTGAGCCGATGGCGCGTCGGTGTTCCCTGGGCAGCAGCTGAAGAGCCGGCAGAGAGCTCTGGAAGGTCAGCGTCAGCCACGGACATTAAATCACCTCCGATGCGCGTTAGCTGCTTCCCGCCTTCCTCAAACTGGAAGATGACTCCGTCAATCACGACCCGTTTCGACTCGGTTCCGCTCGGTGTTGATTCGGACGTAGACTGCAGCATCTGAACGTGACTCGTCCCAGATGTAGCAGGTTTCGTGTTATTGAGTTGCTTTCTGGGGGTTAGCGGGGCGGCTGAGACCGGACACCTTTTCTGCACGGTCATAAGGCTCATGTTGCCTCCACGGCTTGTTGAGCTAATCCATCCTGATCCAGCCGCAGGCTTAGGGGACGGCGGAGGCGAAGGCGAGACCTCGCCCTCCTCCTTCTCCGCGGGCAAGGCCGATGCAGGAGGTGCGGACGTGCTTGCTGGGGTGTGAACAGTCAGACTGTATGAGCCACCCCGTCCGCGCCCGCGCCCGCGGCCCCGGAAGCCACCGCGCGAATAGCCACGGTGTCCGCCGCGGGAGGAGCCACGATAAGGGTGGTACGAGGAAGAATGAGAGCTACCGCTGCTGCTGGCGATTTGCCCTATGTGTCAGCAGATCGGGTGGCTGATAGCGACGAGTGATTGAGTGTCTCTAACCTTGCAGCCGGGCGATTTCTTGCTGTATGAGAAGCTTTTGCTTCTCTGTTGTTGATAATGGGGGCATGTCTCGTGACGCTGGTGGGACAGAGATCCGTAGAGGGCGGGGAGGGGTGGACTAGGATGATGATGATGAAGGAGGAGCGGGTGATGGACAAGGGACGATGATGTTGAGTAATGGCCTCCATGGGATCAGGTGGATCAGTGGCAATTGGGGAGCTGGAGGGTAATCATACGCACGTGTCGTAAGCGTGTCATATTATGTTGTGTTTGTGGAACTTTTTATCCCAAGGATTGGGAAGTGGAGGTGGTCCACCCATTCCTTGCACTGCGCGCTCACGGTCTCCCTTGCTCAAAGCGCTCTATCCGCGTCCTCCATGTCCGCAGCGCCGCAGCTGTGCGACCTCTGAACGCGGAGCAGCTGAGCAGACATACCCTTTGGCCGTTGAGGGATAATCCGCAATCACCAAGGATCAGCAGCGCAGCATGCGGTTCGCCGGATCGCTGGATCGCTTGAGCCGCAAATGCGCAATCACCGAGCGCGCGTCGAGCGGGGACGGCGGTATGCATCGGTGCCGGGGGCGGGGTTGACTCACACTGAGCAGGCTTGGGGCCTTTGGGACCGAGGAAACTAGTCCCAGCGACATTGCATCTCTCTCGTATATATCTCTCTATCCTTAAGGTCGCGTCTGTCTTGACCATCATCCTTCACTCGACTCTTTACTCTTCATCATTGTTCTTTTCCACTTCAAAGATCCATCCACATTGACTATTCAAAGTCCTTCACCTCCTCACAACAGTCACACTCGACCGGTTGACACTACTCACTCACAAACCCTGCCGCCGACGCCATGTTCTGGACAAACGACCTTCTCATGGCCAAGAGCGGCTCCTTGGGAACAGTCTGGTAGATCAACCGCACCCTACTCCTCTCTGAAACCCAGGCTCATCTCCACCCTTGGCCCCCGTAACAAGCGCATCAAACGCAAAGACCTAGCTAAAGTCGAAATCACTCGCACTTGTGAACTCATTGCGGCGCCGCCCGAACCCCTTGCCCTCCGTTTGAGTGGCCAGCTTTTAGCCGGCGTTGCTCGGTGAGTCACTCTCTATGTACTGATTGATACCAGCGTCTTTGCACAAAACCATGAGAACTTTTACACTGTAGGGGCGCACAACTTGTTGGACTAACGCATAGGATCTTCAGGATTTCGATTCAACACTCCGCCGCTCCATCGCCGCTGACTTCGGTGCGATGGGCACCCTTGCCAGCAACGGCGAGATTGACCTCCCCGGTGATGGCTGTGCTCGGTACGAATACCATCAACGTTGCTGAAGACAGACTTGATCAGATCACCTTCGCCGACTACGTTCCCGGTGTCGCAGACATCTCTTGGAGCGACTATGATTTTGCCAGATGGGTAAGCGCTCCATACCGACCAGGTTATCTCATCAAAGGAATGGCCCACTCACCATCTTGGAAACGCTTACCGTGAACGCCGCTGCACCACGCCTTTGGAATCTCTCCCACAGCCCTCCTCTTCTGCTTCCGAGGACGCTAATGAGGAAATGCAAAAAGAACCGGACAAATCTCGTGCTTCGCGCCCCAAAGGTGACATCTCGTCCACCCACCAGGATGGCTAATCTCAGCGTTCGCCCACAGCCAAACGCCAACGTACCCGCCAGTTGAGCCTGCGGTAGAAGACGTGCCTGATGCGTTCGAGCCTATGATTCTCGACATCGATTTGATGGACCCAATGCCCAGTGATTCATCGTTTAGCGGCCGCCCGCTATCTCCTGCGCCCCACGCCAACGGTGGTGACATTGACATGTCTCTTGCGTAAATCACGGACACTAACTGCTGTGCCACTAACAGTAGACATCCACTTTCTCCTGGCAAGTTTCACCCGTCTCCCATTGACAATCACCAGCAGAAGCCCGTCAGTAGCCAAGAGGCATCTGACAGTGGGACACAATCTCCTCCTGCCCCCGATCTGAAGACGAAAAGTAAAAGTAGCAAGACCCGGCAAACTAAGCAGGCCAAGGTCGTTCTTGATCAGGTGAGTTCCGGACAAATTAAGCTAACCTCAGCTCCTCGAGCTCGATCTTGACCTCGACATGACAGAGACCGCTTACGAGGCGGCCATGGCAGAACAGCGGAAGGAGCTCAACGTCAAAGCTCGTGTGAAGGCCACATCCAAGTTCGCAGAACGTTTGCTTGGAGGGCTTAACGTGTACTTCAATTGTGGGTCACTTCTACGATGGCCAAGGCCAACTCTTATTCCCAGACCTGGATCCGGATATGGGATCGATGGTGGACAATTTATGCAAGACGAGCCAGTTCAAATGGCAGCTGGACAAGAAAGCTACCCCAGCGCCACAACTGGATCATGAGAACCCCGTTGGAAATCATGAGAATATCGGCCCTCATGCCTCGAGTGATGAGCATTCCATGTACCCGCAGCCCGCGTTCGGCGCAGTGAGTAGCCAGCCTGCCGCTCAGTCTGATTGCAGTATCCGATTGATCTCCATGAAGTTCCCGACCTCCCTGAGGTTCCTCGGCACAACTTCGATGTACTATCTCCATGTGTCGGTGGAATCTGCTGACCCTCAGGATGAGATGGAGCAAGCTCGTTCGCAAAGTGATCTACCCGCGAGTCATCGATGGCAGACAACGGACTGATGCCAGTGGGTCGCCGAATCTGACTTCTCCGACCTGCCGGGCCCACTCGATTCTCATCAGACAACTCCGGCACGACTCAACACTCCACGCATCAGCGACATGTCGCCCCTGGAGCGCTCGTGAGTGCAGCGGCGGGTTTGAGCTAAACTCACAGCATTCGGAAACACCATCGCCACTCGTCCATGACCCGCGATGTTACTGGGCGAGACTTTACTAACTGTTCTCGCTCTGGGTCGGTCCTTAGCATCAGTCACGCTGGACTCGACCGCATTCAGCTGGTTCCAGATGAGGACCTTGATGAACGTAGGTAGGATATGAAGGACGGGACTGATCCAAGTTCCCGACGATTACCGCTTCCCGCCGGGCCACCCCTTCGCACCGAAGATGCTCGCCACTCTGGAGCCTCAGTGCCGCTACTTCTTCAGGTGACGACACGAGTGGCGTCGCTGACGGTAGCCACGTGGACAAGACCATGATCAAGACCGGCACAGATGAGCTCGAGCTTCGCGATCTTGTGCCCCGCGGTCAGAAGAAACGTGTCGCCGCAGCAGCCTTCCACAATTGCCTCAGTGAGTCCGACAACGTGCTATGCCGACGCACAGCACTGGCCACTAAAGGTCTACTCCAGGTCACGCAAGCCACCGCCAACGGTCCCATTACGATGCGCATCCCTCCCGCGTAACGGCAGGGTGCCCGGCGGCGATCTGAAAACCATCTGTGCTCTCTCTGTCAATGCCCTGCATCCGTGCATCAGTACACTTGCCACGGCTGTACTGCCAGTCGTTGCCACTCATACATGCTGTGAAAGCTGTGATTGCACCCTGGCGGGGCTGCTGTTGTTGGTCTATGCTGTCAGTCTGTCGGCTACAATAGAAGGGGTCACGTGGGGCAGGCGCTGCGTTCAAAACGGGTCGTCTTTATGTTGTGGCAGCTTCAAATCGCCACCAAACACCATCTCGTCCGCCTCACGCGCGCGCGCAATCTTGTCCTGCTTCTCCTTTCTCTCCTCGGCGGCCTTGGCCTCCCGTTCCGCCTTTCGCTGGATGTATCTAAGGTTAGCGCCGTCTCGGTACCCGTGGAAGACATACAACGCGGTGCCCGGCACCTTTTCGGGGTTTGCGCAGCTCTTGAGCCGCTTGTCCACTTCCTTGACCTTTTTGAGATCCTGCTGTGCCTCTCCTGCGCGAATCATGGTCTCGAGGTCGCCCGATATCCCGAGGAGCGCATCCTGCGCAATCCCAAATGGCAGCTTGCCCTCCTCCGCGCCGTCGTATTTGGCCTCGAGGAACGCGTCGGTCAACTCGCGGTCCGCGATGCGCCAACACGCGAGCGCGATCTGCGCGGGCGCGAAGAGGAACTCGGCGTCGGTCATCCGGCTGGCCGCGAGCGCGCGAAGCGCCTTGGGCAGCGCGCGCTGTGCGCGTTCGCCTGCGCCGCTCACGGGGGAGGACTGCAGCTCAAGCGCCCAGCCGCGGAGGGCGCGCTCAGCCCCCCGCACCCAGAACTCGAAGGAGAGGCTCTGGGCGACGAGGAACTCGAGGTCGAGCACGTCGTCCGCTTTGAACTTCTCGAACTTTTTCACAAAGTCCTTGATGGGGATGTTGTGGTTGGTCGTCTTGGCCGCGAGGTAGAGGCACGTCGGCATGATCACCTTCGGGTGCCATTCCATCACGCTGTTCTTGAGGTAGAACCGCTTGATGTATGAGATCGCGGTGGCTTCGACTTCCTCCGGCGAGCCGAAGCCTTGCCGGCAGATGGTGCTGGCGTGGGAGCAGTAGAAGCGGACAAGGAGGAGCTCGTCGTCGACCGACAGGTAGGCGGGGGTGGGCAGGGAGGAGGTATGTCCGAGAGATTCTTGAGCCGCCTGGGATTAGCTGGCAAGAATACGGTGCGAGGGTTTTGAGCGTCTCGTCGGAACACGGGCATGTTCGCGCCCAACAAGCCGTCAGACAGGCCGCTGTAGACCCACGGCCTTTGGACGCGCGGCCTCCGACAGGCCATGCCCGTCGTCTCTCATTATATCCAGCCCGCCCGCCTCAATCGCGTGCAACTAACCTTCTCAGCAGCCACGTTCCGGTCCGTCACCTCCTTGCTCTTCTCGTTGAGCTCGTGCCGGAGCTTGTCGAGCCCCGCTTTCGAGTATCGCCAGTGCTTGAACTGCGAAGACTCGTGGTACGCGGTCAGCCCGGGGCGGGGGCGGCTCGGCGCCGGCGTCGGCGGGTGTGGTTCGAGCATCCTTACCGTCGAGGACGGGCGGACTGTGGAGAGTAGGGAATACAAAGTGGTGGGATCGATGGATATCCAGTGCGGGGCAATTGCTTCCGCGATGACGCGCCGTAATGTCTGCACACGTCCCGCTCTGGTGTCTGCTTTGCTCCATCTCCATCAAGCATCTCGTTGACTGATCACCACGCATCTCAACGACTCAACCCCACGCACTATATCCGCAATGCGCCTCCGCCCATTGCTCGCCCTTTCCCTCCCCCTCGCCGCCGCTTGGTCGTGCGACGCCGTGCCCCCCTCGAGCGGGAGTTTGGATCTCTCGTCCCTTGCCGGCGTCAAGGAGGCGACGAAGGATACAGAGACGCCCCCGACGAAGAACACCGCGCGCGTGCGGCTCGATATCTGCGGGAAACTGCCGAAGGAGGATGGGGTGAAGGACGAGGATCAGGTGAGTCCGAGCCGAGCGGCGAGAGAGAACGGGATATCAGGATTGGGCTTCAAGTCCGCTTAGAGCCTGGGAACACCATCATGAGCAAATCAGGAGTGTGCGGTCTACCCAGGATGACAGGAGGTAGCGGAGGAGGCGTAGGCGGTGGAGGAGGCGGGGGGAAGCGGGGGCATGCGGCGAAGTGCTGGGTCGGACGAGGCGGCCGCAGCGGTCTGCGCTCGGACGACAAGCTGCCTCCCTTATCTGCTCCACTCGCTCAATCGCCGCTGAACCTAACCCCAGTGCCCAGACGGAACGCGCGCATGCCTCACGCTCATCAACCACAAGGAGGGCGCGAGCGATCCAGACCGCGTGACGACCGTCATCCCCCTCTGGAAGGAGGACACACCTGACAGCGACGTGCGGGTCACGGGCCGCGAAGGCGAGTGGACGGTGGCGGTCAAGTCGCCGGAGTACGCAGGGTGAGTCGAGCCGGGGCGGTAGCGCGGGAGCACGCTCGCTGACGGCAGCACGCCGCACACCCTCTCACTCATCCTCACCTGCGCCGAGACAGAGTCCGGGCCCTCCCTCGAGTCGTACGCGGGCGGCAAGCTTGAGCTGCGCTGGTCCACGCCCTCGGTGTGCGCCGGCGCATCGGACGGCAGCGGTGGCGGCGGCGGGTTTTGGGGGTTCATCAAGTTCTGTTTCTGGGCGTCTTTCTTCATTCTCATCGCATACTTCGCCCTAGGCGCAGTCTACAACCACCAGCAATACGGCGCGCGGGGGTGGGACCTGGTTCCGCACCGCGACTTTTGGCGTGAGCTGCCCGCGCTCGGCCGCGACTTTGGCGGACATGTCGTCGGCAACGTCCGCAGCTCGACGGGGCGTGGCGGATACTCAAGCCTCGGATAAATAGACAATGCATAGACTACTACCGGTAGTTCCGCTCGGTGTAGCGCTCATTGAGTGCGCCTAGTGCGGCCAGGCCACCGCCGTCGCGTGCGGCCGCGAGTGCGCCGACATTCTTCTGGAACTCGACCCACTCACTCTCGCGCGGTGTCACTACTTTCTCGGCCACGTCGTAGACATACACCTTGCCGTCGCTGCCGCCGAGCGCAGCCTTGCGCCCGGCCCCGCGGTCCCATGCAATCTTGTTCAGCGCGTGATTGCACACCTGCGTCGAGACCAGTGGCACTTCCATATCCGCGTTGAGGTTCCATAGGTCAAACTTGCCCGTGCCGTCCGCCGTGCCGAAGAGTGCGGGGTGCGACGGGTGCCACTTGACGTCAAAGACGTAGTCGTCCGCCTCATCGAAGGAGTGCAGTGGAGGCACGCCGGCCTGCACGGGGGCATGCGTCTTGCCGCGTGCGCGCCACAGCTTGACAGTCCAATCGACGGATGACGTGAGGAAAAGATCGGAGAAGTCGAATGGTCCGGCGGAGGGGTGGAAGTGAATGCCTGTGACCGGGCCAGCGTGTCCGCGGTAGACATCGTCAGCGTTCAACCCGGCCTTGGCAGAAGCACGGTCAAAGCGGTTGGCCTGGTACACCGAGCCCTCCTCTGTGCCGACCCAGAAGCTTGCGGTTTCGTTGTCCGCAAAGTCGAGGCATGCGATCGACACCTCGTCCGTCTTGGTGGTGCTCGCTGGTCCGCCGCTTGGCACCGCAAGAAGTAGTGCCTCCTGTGGTTGGCTCAGCATATCGGCCTGCCATGCACAGACGAGACCGTCTGTACTCGTCGTGATCAAGCTGTTGGCATTCTGTGTGCCGACCATCTTCATGGCGTAGATGGGTGAGGTGTGGCCCGAGCTGCTCAGTGGTGTCTTGTTTACTGGTAGGTGCGATGCTCGGGTGTCCCAGAGTAGGACCTGGCCCGAGTGGCTCCCACCGAACACGAGCTGTGGATGGAATGGCGACAGGCAGACAGACAACACGTCGGATGGCGCGTGGAAAACGAACTCGGGACGCTCGAGAAGGTGCAAGTTCCACACAGCGACAATGCCCTGCGGGTCATTTGGTGCAGACCTCGATTTGTTGTACGACGCGGCTACGAGTTCGGGATACTGAAATAAGCACTGGTTGGGGCTGCCCTCTCACCTTCGGTGACCAGTCGAGACCCGTCACGCTTCGCCCTGCTGTCCACCGCTCGTCGCTGAATACACACACCAACTTGACGCGCTGACCCTCGCCATCGTCGTACCCGCTATCCAGCCCAATGGTGTAGTCTTTGATGTAGTCGTACCCGTCGCTAAGTGCGCGCTGCACAATGCGACTGCTTCCCTCAAGGAAGGCGCTGAACTCGGGCGCCGCGAAGATCGCTTGCCGCTGCTCGTCGGGGAGGTCTGAGGTTAGCCACAGCCGCTGCGGCCGACTCACGCTGCAGCTGCAAGTTGTCCGTCTTGGCCTTGAGCTCCTTGAGCTCGCGCTCGAGCTGCCGCCGCTCCTCGTCGAGCTGCGCGACCATGCGGCTCCACGTTTCGTTCTCCGTCTCATGTCCCGCGCCATCTCGGCTAGGTACATCCTCGTCATAATCCTCGCCCTGTGTCCCGGTCGACACCATCGTCTGCACCGATTTCGAGTACGTCTCAGGCTTGATGACTTTGGAGGGCATGTCGTAGATCTCGGCATACGTAGTGATAAACTCGACCGTGACCTCGGGCGGCGGAGGCGGGTCACTGGCATCAGCGACCTTCCTTCTCACTCGCGGACGCTGTCGTCCGTAGGCTCTTCGGCGTTGGCCTCCTCCCCACCTTCGCCTAACTCACTCAAGCCCACTCATCCCACTCATACTCGGCACGCGCGCCTCGCTGAGTCTGCTCGTGCGCCCCGGTGTCCCCGGCGCGCTCACGGGCGACGCCGTACGCACTTGTGCGCTAGGCCCCGCCGTCGACGGGCGGGAGTACGGCGAGCCGGGGCGCGCGGCGATAACATTGTCCACGAACGAGTTGACGTCCTTGCGCGCCGCCTGCGGCGTGGGCTGGCGTGAGCGGACCGCGCGAGATCCGACGCACCGACTCTGTCCCGCTGCCCGGCGTGCTCTGTGCGATGAGCCTGGAGCGCTCTTCGCGCGCGCGCCGCAGCTCCATCAGCTTGGCGCGCTTGGCCTCGATCTCCTTCTTGCGGTGTTCAGACATGGGTGGTGGGCGATGAGAGGAAGCGGTCTGTGGACGTGACGCGGACCGATGATCGTTGGACCAACGCGTACCCCACGTGGCCCGCCCTGGGTACTAGCCTGAAACTGCACCTGTTTCAATCCGCAATTCCGCAAACTGTCTTCTTCAGAACTCTGACATCTGACAACAGAACAGCAGGTTGGGGCATGGGGCAAGTGGATACATGTACTACAGACTACGATAGGAAATTAGACTTCTGACACCGGTGCCGACGCCGACACGCCCTCGGCCCCTCTCGCGCCGGTCTCCCACAACCCCGGCCGCGGCACGACCTCAATGTCGCCAAACGCCTGCTCCTGCTTCAACCCCACCGCGTCCCGTGTCCCCAACACCAACAGCTCGAAGAAAAACTGCGATGCCGCGCGCTTGGTCGCGCCCCGCGCAACCCTGGTGAACGTCACCCCCTCTCCCTCACTCAAGGTAGACTCGATCGCCTCGATTTCGCGCCGGAGCACGCCCATCGCCATGCCTGTCGTCTTGCTGAACCCGCCCGTGCCCTTGCCAGTTCCGGTGAACTGCGAGCCGACAGCGCTCTCCCCTCCGTCGAAGATGGCGAGGGGCGGGCCCTCAGTGTCGTGTTCCTGCACGGCGCGGGCGATGCTCTCTGCCCGACTGCCGGCAATCGAGGGCATGCGCGAGTAGCGCGAAATTTGGCTTCGAGGACTGCTAAAGGGCACGTCCGGCTCGTAGGCGGGGAGGTCAAGGGGATCGCCCTCGAGCAGACTCAGGTCCATGTCCAGGTTCTCCAGCCCCAAGTCACCGGCCATGCTCGCCATACCTGGCGTCCGTGTGCGGCTGCGGCGGCGCGCAATCTCAAGATCGTAGTCCATTTCCGATTCCAAACGTGGCCGCTTCGGCGACTCCTCTCGCTCGCCCTCCACCCGTCTCCGGCGAAGAGTGTGAATGGGGAAAGTGAAAAGCTCCTCCAGCGCGGGAGGGAGGTAGCTTGGCCCAGCCATGATAAAGCGCTCCCCTTCCTCTTTGTAGACGGGGAGTACGAGGTCGACATCGGCTGCAGCGGCCCGCACGTGCGCCGTCGCATCGTCCGGAATGAAAGTCGGTTCCGCCTGGTGCTCCTGCGCCGACTCATCTGTGAACGCTTCATCTGGCAGCTCAAGCTCGTGGTCGGGGCGGAGAACGCGCACCCGCCTTGCCCTTTTGGCAACGGCTTCGAGACGCTTGGCCGTCCCTGGCGATACGGGCATAGGCGGAGGGGATGCTGGAGGGGGCGTGGTAAGTGCACTCGAGGCGGGCGAGGACGACCGGTTCTCCATCAACGCCGGGAGCTCATCAGGAGGGAAGTCGAGGTCGAGATCCATTGGTCCCATGCTGAAGTCTGGGTCAATGGCCATCCCCTCATGGAGTTCATGTAGTTGGGGGGGGGTGGAGTGCCGCATCTCGTGAGCCTGGCTACCGCCGCGCCCGATTTCCATGCTCATGTCAAAGTCGAGATTCTCGATTCCCAGGTCCATGGGAGCGAACATCTCATTGCTGTCAAGGCGGCTCGTGTAGTCTTCGTCGCTTGTGTTGCTCCGCGACCCAACCGAGCCGCCGTAGATGCTGCTTGTGCGTGGCCGCCCAAAATTGAACGCGCCGTATTCTCTCGACCCGCGAATGTTGGTCTTGTTGAAGGGGGCAGTGTGGAGACCCGTGGGCTCATACACCGACACACTCCAGTCCCAGAAATCCATAGCGCTCGCGGCCATAGTCGCCTCGCTGAGTTGGGGAAGCGTGATCGCTGCGTTGGGGGCGCGGATCTGGTCATCAGGCAGATCTACGAGGCCTGGCTGAAAGGCCGTTATGCGCTCGCGTGTGTCGCGGCAGTCTTCAAGGAGGTACTGTGCTTGCCTGCCATAGATGCGGGTAACACCGAGCATGAGCTGCCCCGATATCCGGAGCGCAACAGGATTATCGTCGGTCTGACCCAAGATCGCCTCTGTATGTCAGCGCAAGTCGCCCAAACGATTGTGCCGGACGCACCACAACTGTCCTCGATGTCGACGTTAAGGGTCTGCTGCTTGGTGAGCTTGCGTTCGTGGTGGGCGGTGAGCCAGATCTTGGCGAGTGGCCCACCCTTCGCCAGGACAAGCTCGGACAGGAGCATCGTGACGGAGTGCACGCAGCAATCAGAGCCACGGAGTAGGAAGAGGATGAGGAGGGTTGATGATGGATAGTGGATGGGATGGCGGGACGAAGTTAGGGAGGCACGGAGATGGCGGGGTGGCGTTCGCGGCCTCGATTAAGTCGCCGGCTGCTCGGCGTCGGGTCGCCAGATGACTGGGGCTGGTTTCCAAGTATCAAGAGGTGGTGAGGAGCAAGAGAGAGAGCGACAAGAGGACAGGAGTAAGATTAGGAGTGTGGATGGATTCTGAGTGATTGGATGAACGCGACGAGGACAATGTAGAATGCAGGGTAGGAGATACGAGACGCGACTTCATGAGCGAGAGCGGAGGCATTTGAGACGCGCTCATGGGAAAGACAGTCGCCCGTCGCGCGCCTATTTGTTGGGTAGTCGCAGGGGCCGCGGATAGAAGCACATGATAGGCACGCTCTGAAGGAAAGTCCTAGCGATCCTCATTTGCCACCCAACTGAACTCGTTCACCTCTCAACTGCATCTTTCGCTCCTCGCTCCACCCGCCGCAAAACCGACCACCATGTCGTACTTTATGACCCAGTGAGCACGGCCCCAGCGCCTGAACTAGCGTGCACTATAAGCGTGCGGCGCACAGCAGCGTGCAGTTGGCTCCGCTGACATCAGCCTCCACTCCGGCTGGCATGTCGACCAGGCCATTCTCGTCGAAGAAGACCGCGTTGTCTGCATCCGCTTTGGGCACGACCACGACTCGGAGTGTATGGCCATGGATGAGACAATGTACGGCGTGTCGGAGCAAGTGCAGAACTTTGCCATCATGTACCTCGTCGACATTACGGAGGTGCCGGACTTCAACAAAATGTACGAGCTGTACGACCCGTGCACGCTCATGTTCTTCTACCGGTATGTCTGATCACACAAGGAAGCTGACGGCAGAAACAAGCACATCATGATCGATCTCGGGACAGGTAACAACAACAAGATCAACTGGGCGATTACGGACAAGCAGGAGCTTATCGACATCATCGAAACCGTGTACCGAGGGGCATCCAAGGGTCGCGGTCTCGTCGTCTCGCCGCGGGACTACAGCACACGTCACAAGTACTAGAGGACACTGTTTGTATCACATTATTATGTTAGAGAGCGGACGCTCGTATAGTTTGGTCGTAGATGTAGGGCTGGGTCGCTACTGAGAGCAACCTGGGCATGTGTGCAGTGTCTCATGCACGCTGATGTTAGCTGAAACTGGGGGGAGGGGCGTTTGAACATACTACATGTCGCAGTCCATGCAGAAATCGTGCTCGCACTTGGCGCAGCGGTAGCGCCCTGTAGGGCTCAATGTGTCGTCTGTAGGTGGCGGTGCGTCGGCGAGCGATTCGAGCTGGAGTCAGACATAGGATATGGCCGTTCGATTCACCGAAGGGAACGGCTCATTGCAACCGAAACATGCTTTGTCGATCTTGGGCTGTCCGAGAGCGTCTTTGGGGCTTGTATTAGCTCATACCACCCCGGTAGGCTCACAGAGTCTTGTATGTTGCGACGGGGAAGAGCAGCCAGAAGCTGCGGGCGAGGTGTGGGCTGCTGACAACCATGAGGCCGCATACCTCACAGTCTGTCGGCACGTCACACAGTTTTACACCACAGCGGGGGCACATGTACCCTCCCCGCTTGAGGAGGCCGTGGCATGCGCAGAAGCTTTCTCCGGCCCCCGGCAGGCGGGTCGGGAAGCCCATTACCATGAGATCTCCGACGGGCGGGGGACGAGAGGGTGCGCCGGGTGCTGTCCGTCCACCGCGCGCCAACGCGTCGCGCACGCTCATCGTGGCTGCCGCAATCGTCTGTGCGGGCGGAGGAATGGTCTCCCACAGCAGGTCCTTGTAGTGCTCCTCGTCGATGGCGACGCCGAAGCGGCCACCTGTCCTCTCGGCGATCTGTTTGCAGATCTTGATCTCGGCCGAGAGGGAGATGATCGTCGTGCGGATACGAGATTGCACCAGCTCATCGAGAACTTGATGGATGTTAGTCGGCCCATCGGGGTCGGCTGTCGAAATCGCGCTGAAAATGACGAGGATCTCGAGTGAGGACGTCGAGGGAAGGTGGCTCATGCCGCCGCGTGCCATCACGAGACCGTTCTGCAACGACGGCTCTCCGCTTGGCTCAAGCTTTCGCTTGTCTGCAAGCGCTGCGACGATGTCTTGCGGATTACCTGGGGGGGGTCAGTCTCCGCCAGAGCTCGCAGCTCACCTCCCATCGGTACAACGGTCTCCGCCAGCCGGTCACGCAGAAGAATCACGCCGACCTGGCCAAGCGGATTCTGGTCAAACCACTCCACCACAAACGACCGCAAGTACTGCAGCGTCAACTGGAACCGGTCTGGCCGGAAGTCCTTGTCCCGCATGCTCTCTGACAGGTCGACAACAATAAACATGTGTCGCACAAGGGAGCGGCGCAGCGGAGCCTCGGACTGGAGAGCGCTAATGTCAGCCGATCCATTGTGAAGCGCACCGTTTTCGCCGCCCACGCGCAATCAAGCTCTCGACGGCGGCTTGGATGCCGCCCGACTCGTCCTCCTGCACCTGGTCCCAGGAGCGCTTGTACGTCCCCTCCCATGCGTTGACTGCATCCTTGCCCTTGCTCTTCTGCGCACGCTTGCGGCGCGAGGGGCCGGCACGGTCGAGGTCGTCGTCCGAGTCGAGGTCGGAGCGCGGCGAGTTGCCGGGGTTGTACAGCTCGTCAGTGGCCATGGCGGGTGGAGTGTAGGGCGAGATGGTGCCGATTGAGACTAAAGTCGGGGGACAAACCAGGTGGAGGTATGACATGAGTGGACTGATAAGTGCACGCGAGAGCCGCGTGGCATATGACGTGTAAGTTTGGGAAGAAGTCAAAGTGAGACGCGTCGCGCCACTCCTCACAGTCACAAACTCTAATTCTATGCATGCCGATCGACTGGTTGTTTAAGCTTGCTTCGTGTTCCTACGCGTTCTGAACAAAGAACGCCTGTGCTCGCATTGTTCTCACTTGTGAGCAGGCCACATACATCAACTTGGCACAGAAAAGCTTGGCCGTCTGCGATGCGATGACGTCCCAGCGAAGTGGGGACCCCAGTGCCAGCGTGACATGACTTCTCCCTGTGAGGTCCGAAATGTCTGGAACAGGAACAGAGTAAAGCGACAGGGTGAGTGGAATGGAGTTACATGGCGGATATGGCGGGTGGAGATGGTGGAGGACAAGTCTCTCGGCATGCTGCCCCGCGGTTGGGCGCTGAGCGGCTGGGCGGTTGGTCAAGCAAGATGCAGACCATCATCATCCTCTGGGTCGCAACGACAGTCGTTTCTCATCCAGTGCCGTTAATTGATTAAGACACGAGTTTACTTTGGTCTGGAGGTTGCCTGAGAGCTTGTTGCATGAATGCTCGCATCATGCATTACGTCGCGTCGGTGGCAGCAAAGGATCGACGCGTCCTTGACAAGGCACGAAACTAAGCCGAGGTTTTCTCGTCCCTCAAGTTCCTCTTTGATCTTATACTTGTCGATTTGTCGGGTCCAAGCGACCGTGCATTCAAGTTTAAGTTTACGGAGGCTATTTCACCCATCTACTGCGTCTTCTTACGCTCTCTTGCCCAATCTCGTCATGCCATACTAACGATATTCTTCCCAGGCTCGCAGGCTCAAAGGGAATTATTCTACCCGGCCGCGTTCACCTCCCGACTATTACGGCATCAGAGGGCTCCCCTCGCCGCATTGCTTGTACATCCACCGCCCGTCGTAATGCACGCCGTTGAATCTCGACGGCTTCCCCTTCGTCTGCAACCCGGCAAGTGATGGCCAGGTCCCACACCCTACCCCAAATGCCGAGGATCCTGGCGCCGAGCGAGGGGGCTCGAAGGGGTGAAGAGCCAGTCTATCCATAACCCTGCATCTCTGCGTCCTGCAAGTCCTGTATCCCTTTCAGTAAATGACGGCGATGTGAGCGACATGACCGCGAAATGAGGATGGCCGATCACTCAAACGTCACTAGATGGCATTATACACTATCGTCGACGACGCTTCGGCATCCTCCGCCTCAGTATGCACTCCCTCCCCCCGCTTCCTAAACGTTTAGTATTTATTCTGTTGGCTGCTGGCGGATGGGATGTCGATAGATCTTCTAGCTTGCACCCCAGCAACAAGGGCCGGATTATTCCATCTCCCTTCCGCGGTCGGGGGGGGGGGGGGGGGCCGAAACAAATCCTGAAACCCAAGTATCGGCTGGCCTCAGAGAACCGGCGACGCCATGGTCATCGGCGAACCCGACCCCGCAACCCCCGGCGGATGATGTCCTGGACAACAAGAAATTCCTCCCCGTGACCGGCTCCGCGCGCTCTGATCCTCAGGCCATTCCCCACCTGCATCAAAGCTTGAAAGCGGATGCCCCAGCAACGCTGTGGGATATCTCTGCTTCCACCCCTGCGGGCTTGCAGTGTGCGGCCTTGGGGACTTCGGAGCGCGCCAGTACGCCAGTCCGCACTCCACCCCGCTCTACCGAGCTTACGATCCGTACATTCAATGGCTGTCCAAGCCCCGCGTTGCCAGGGAGCAGTCGTCATCTCCACACGTTATTTCCCTGCATGGGCCTGTGATGAGATCGACTCTCACGCACACTTCCGAGGGCGAGGGACGACCACTGTAACGCTTGCGACAAACCGGGTCCGGGAGGTGTCGCAAAGTGAGCTGTCAGCTGCCCAGCTTCCTTCCATCTGCGGCATGTGCTGGTACATGTGCTGTGACTGCGACTGAGAGGGACGGGAGACCGAATGAGAATGATGCTCTGCTCTAGCGCGGATAGGCGGCGATGGGACGGGCTGGAATCGGCCGTCTTATCGCACCCGCGGAACAAGGGCAAGGGTTTTTTTTTGGTCGTGTCGGGCAGTTGCCCATTACGGCGTCCGCTCTTGCTCACGCTAGAGCACGCTCGCTGCTCGGCTACCTTGGTCGTGCCCGGCCGACCGGGGTCATTTCCTCATGCCGCACTTTGGTCATTGATGCACGGCGCTGAACAACATGCGAGTGCATGCTCACGCGCCACGATGCGGGGGATAGGAGGCATGCCCACTGACCACTACTGGCCAGTTCCCGATCCCGGTCTTGGAAGATGGGCGTGCGCATGCGAGCATCATGCGAAATGCGAGAATGCTTGAAATGACCCAGGCAGTCGGTGGTCCCTTTTGTCCCTAGCACAATGACAATTATGTTACAGGTAATGAATTCAATTACATTACGTTGTGGTTGGCAAGGCCGTAATCACCCCTAATCACCCACCCGTCACCCCATCGCCGTCTATTCGTCGTCATTCTTGTTCCATCGGCATCGGTTAGAACGGGAGTTTCAGATGAGAATAGCTTATGAGCGTGTTGATGAGGTGAGAGCAAGTGAGAGAGTGAGAGAGAGAGAGAGAGAGACAAGAGTAGTATGCAAAAGAATACAGAGAGTGCGGTGACATGCGGAGAGCGTGCCTGGAGAGCATTTCAACTGACCGTGCACAAGGCAAGCCTGGCGCCCGCCCTCTCCAAGGCTCCCTCTCGCCCTGCCCTTCACCCTGGAGCATCTCTCTCCCAATCCCACCACCGTCACCTCTTATCCATCTCCTCCTCCTCCTCCTCGTCGTTCATCCTCCTCTTCTCCTCCCATCTCTACTCCTCCTCCTCTCCTCTGCTCCTCTCTCCACGCGCCCACTGCTCTCGCCGCAGTCGGTGTATCGCCATGATCGTCTAGAGCCCCCCCGGCCGCACACACACTCTCTCTCTGGAATCAACCTCCCTCACCCCGTGTCAACCTCGTCTCCTCGTCACCCTCCGCCTGATCGTCGTCTTCCAGCGCGTCTGTTCAACGTATGAGCGCGGCGGCGGTCGGGCCTGGTGGCATGGGCCCCGGGCTACCTGGTCCATTAGCCCCGCCAATGAACACGCACCACCTCTCGGCCCACACCGTGCACGGTGCTCACATGACACACCCCCCATCTCTTGCCGCATCACCTACCACCAGCACGGACAAGATCCGCAAAAAGAGCGCGCACTGGGCCGACTCGGACACGGACAAGCTTCTCGAAGTCCTCCTGCGCCATCGCGAAAAGGGTCGCACGGCCGACAATGGCTTTGAGCCAGAAGTTTGGCAGGAGGCCGCAAAGTGTCTCGAGAGCACCAACGGCACAGGAGGCGAAAAGACACCAGACGCGTGCAGATCCCGCTGGCAACGACTGCAGCGCGAGTTCAAGTTTGCTAGACAATACCTCGAGGAGTGCCACGGCTTCTCGTGGGATCGCAACAAGCACAAGCTTTACGCGTCAGAGGAATCATGGGCAGCAGCGGAGAGGAAGGTTCGTTTACAATTCCTCATAGCGGGCTGACGAGAGCAGGGCCACCAGACCAAGAAAGGCAGGAAGATCTACCTCCCATGGTTCCAAGGCCTCGGTCAGTTGTGCCCAAGCGATAGTCGCATAAGACCGACGAAAGGCCGAATGCCCTCGAATGGCTCGTCGACATCAGAGACCTCGGGTGCACTTCCCCCCGCAACTCTGGCCCACAATGTGGTCAGACCGCCAGGGCTACCCGATGGGACTCACGTGATGCCTCATATCAACGGCCACGGCCAACCGCAATCCCACACCGGCGTGCAACCAGGCATGCCCGTCCCCGACCAAGCATCCGTGTGGGGTGACGGGGGGGACAGTAGCCTGGACGACGTTGATTCTAGTTTCACGCTTGCGGATCCTGTAAGTGTGGAGTGATAATCTCGGCGTGGCACATATGCTCATCCTAAAGAATCAACAACCGTTCGCCATGTCTCACCAGAAGCGGCCGCTCGAGTACGACGTGTCCGTTCTTGCCTCGGGCGGTGATCGGAAGAGGATTCGCACCCACCGAGAACCACAAGGGACACCAACCCGCCCATCGACTACCAATGTTGGACAGCCACTTGGTTATCAACAGCTAGTGCCACCACCAAGCACGACCCCGAACGTCAGCCATCCTCATCCACCCCAAACACCCCCTCACCATGCACACCAGCATCATTATTCTACCCCCCAAGTCCCCCAAAAGCAAGTGCAGCACATGCAATCGCATCAGCAGCCGCACCAGCAACAGCACCAGCCGCATCAGCAGCAGCAGCCGCAACAAGCTCACCAAACGCAACCGCAACAGCAACCATTACATGCACAGGTACAACAGCACACAATCCAACACCCCCCACAGCTTATAGCCCAGCAACCCCAACAGCATTCGATAGCGCCTCGTCAAGCACTCGCGCCGCAGGCCATCAACACACAATTTAGCCCCCCATATAACATACAATCGGCATACACGACCCGTTCTCCACAATATACCCCCTCCATCAACGACCCGGCGTTGCCTTCGCCTGTGTACCAGTCTTTGCCCGTCGGCAGCGGCGACATGTCCAACACGTTTCTTCGAACCCCGCAGCAGACAACGGATACGCGCCGAGACGCGGTCATTAAGCGCACGGAGTCTCGAGCACTCGGCCCGGCAGCTAGTATGCCCAACCTCGCGAGTGGAACGCACGCACGAAGCAAATCGAGCAACAACATTATCATGCCCTCGACGACTACCACGGGGGGGCTTGCATTGTCGGGTTTGACACCAAAGACGGCTGGCATGTCCTTCTCGCCTGGCGGGGAGCTCCAGTCACTCACCACTCCGGCCAATCAGCCAACAAAGAGCGGCGTGTCGACAGGACGCAATACACCAGGACCCGGCTCGCCCGAATTAGACGCCGGCGCAAGACGTATAGACGCGGTGCGCCGATTGCAGCTCGAGGACATTTCGGACGACGACTTGATGCTCATCCTCCCAGAGTTTGAGCAGAGCAACGCCGTTGTCGAGACATACTTGGGACTACAACGCGAGCACTTGCGCGTTAGATGGCTTCAAGAGAAGGTCATGGCGCGGCGGCGGTTGGGGGTGCACACGCGCCGCGCCGACGAATTTGAGAGCGGCATGTAGTGCTTCTAACGAGTCGAGCCACGAGCGAGACGAGCCGTAGCCATCACATAGGCATATTTTCACAGTAGACGCCCCATGGGCAATGCACAACCTGGATATGGTGCTGCATGAACCTCTATCGCATCGTCTAAGCCCCGTTGGCGCCAGTCTCGCCGAGTGCGCCCGCAATGTCGTCGCACACGAGCAGCCACGCCGCCTTGGGCTCCATGCGCTGGAAGTTCTTGTAGTAGTTATCCACGACCTTGTCCTCCTTGAACCCGAGGCGCTCGTAGAAGCGCTTGGCGTCCTCGTTGCCGACCTGGACATGCACCGTCGCGCGGTTGATGACGACGCGCGGCGGCGCCTGCTTGAGCTGTCCGCGCGTCGCTGTGCCCGACGCTGGGGGCGTAGGCGGCGGCGGCACCGTAGGATGCAGCGCGGCGCGGAGGGCGTGGCGCACCAGCGCACTGCCGAGGCCCTGCGAGCGGTACGGGGCGAGGACGCTGGTGTGAGCGGGGAGCGTGGAGCTGGGCGGAGACTCACGCAAGCGTCAGGATAGCGAGCGTCGGCTCGCCCTGCTTGGGCGCCACGTTCTCGAGGCTGCAGCAGCACGCGCCCACGGGGATATCGGCGTAGTAGACTGGTGTGAGCGGTGCGGTGGCGCTGGCGTGGCGGCTGCTTCTGATGTCCGCCTTTCCCGCCTCGCTCCTCCCAAGTCGCTGATGGCCGCACTCACCAAGCTTATTCACATCGTCCAGACTCGGGTCCAGCACCGACTTGTAAAACCGCTCCGAGTACGTGACGGGCAGCACGACGTTGTAGATCTTGCGCAGCGTGCCGGTCTGGCATCAGCGCGCTCGCGCGCCGGACTCACGTTGTTGGGAGTCAGGCTGGTGAGCGTGACCTTGGGCGGCGGGGCGACGCGCGCACCGTTCCCGTTGATCGCGACGGCCTCATGCTCGCCCCGCGCGAGCTCCAGCGGCGCCGACACAGTGCCGGCCGTGTTGTACTGTGCCATCGCGAATGTGTGTTCTCGACACGCAGGACGCAGAATCGCGCGGTGACGGAGAAGGAGGGCGGAGAGGGGGGCATCTCCGTCCGCGACATAGATCTCTCGACTTTTGTTGACTTTGACGACAACACACCATGCGAGACCAGCTTGTCGGTGAGTCCACGCATGTGCTTGGCTCGGTACTGACTCCAGCGTCCTCCCTCCTCGCCCCCGTGCCCGTCACGCTCGCGGTGGCCGCGACGGCGTTCGCGGTCGGGTATCAGGTGCGCGGGTATTTCTCGCCCGTGCTGCATGCGCGCAAGCGCTCCGACTCGATCGAGGGCGGCAGCGACACGGACTCGGACGCCGAGGACGAGGCCGCCGCCAACGCCGCCAACCTCGGCTCCGTCAAGGCCGGCGCGGACGACGTCAAGCTCGTGCTCGTCGTCAACGACCAGCTCAAGATGACAAAGGGCAAAATCGGCGCGCAGTGCGGGCATGCGACGCTCGCGTGCTACGAGACGCTGGCGAAGAGCAATCCTAGAGTGAGTGGCGTTGGCTTAGCGCCGAGGCATCGCATGGAGACTGGTGGTTTGTGACCGCGTCCACAGCGGCAGGATAAAATATGGCCGCAAAGTCTTCCTCCCGTTCTTGAGCGCGCCTTCTGCGCTCCACCCGTTGCTGGCTTACTTACCCCAGCTCCTTTCCAAGTGGAAGATGCACGGCCAGCCCAAGATCGCCCTCCGCTGCGCAAACACCGAGGAGCTCGACGAGCTCGCGCGCCAGGCCCGCGCTCTCAACCTCTGCGCCCGCACCATTCAAGACGCCGGCCGCACTCAGGTCGCCCCCGGCTCCAAGACTGTTTGTGGCATTGGACCCGGCCCGGCACGTCTCATCAACCAGGTGACTGGCAAGCTCAAGCTGTTGTAGACGGAATCTTGTCATCACACTGCAGTACATGTACATCTACCTCCGTCCCGGCACCCAGCCCAGGCTTTCGTCCTTCCGTCCTCCGCCAGGCACCCAGCCGAGCTCGCCCGTGTCGGCGCCGGCGATACCGTTCGCGATCTTGCGGCGCGATATCCGCTGGCTCGCCTGCAAGCTTGAGACGAGGGCCTTCGTTGGGTGGCACAGGTGCATGAAGTTGCAATATCTGGCGTCAGGTCGATCCACAAGCCGAGCTTACCCTTCGCGCTTGCATTCCCCGAGCTCGTTCTGGCGGCAGCAGGCCTCACGGAAGTCGCTCACCGGTGACAGCTCGGCGTGCAGTGGGCGCATGCCGTACCACCGGTTGTTGAGCTGGTCTACCGCCTTTGCTGCCTCAGCCTCCCACTCATACCTCACGTAGACGTTGCCCTCGAGGTGATCGCCAACGTTGTCGCACACGTGCATTTCCTGCACGTTTCCGTACTTGCACAGCTGGCTGCAGTGAGCTTACACTCGCCATCGCGGCACTCACATGAAGAAATCTTCATAGAAACGGTCAAAGTCTGCCTGCAGCTCCTCGGGCGTCATCATGGCCCCCTCAGTAGTGTGCGACGGGTTGTTGTACACGTTTGGGAGAAGAACCGTCTGCGAGAAGCCTGGTCTGATGTGCTTACTGGTATTAGCAATGGGCCGGTTGAGGTCAGTTACTCACCGCGAGCAGCGATCGCCATGGCGGCACGCACCAATCTTGAGGTAAAACGAGCAGTTCACTCGATCCTGTTCAGTACCACTGAGCGTTAGCCATGGTGAAGCGGGTGGCAATACGTCGTGAAACTCACTAGATATCACGGCCCGACGACATGGTTGGTTGCGAGAGAAGATTGATGGAGCTGGGAGCTAGAGGTGAATCTGTGAAATGGACGGGAGAAGCTGCGTGATGAGTGTCGGTGATATGAAAGTCGCGCTGTGGGATCAATTGACAAGACGTCGCCAGCAATTGTGCAGAGCAAGAGAGTGATGGAGAGGGCGAGAAATGGAGCAGCAACAACAACATCGAGCTCATTCTGGGCCTCCACTCGCATCTGGTCAACTCCGGCCGCCACACGCTGACTCAGCCGTATTTCCGCCCTCATGTGCTTTCCACGTGTGGAAGCTCTCCCACGGTGCTGTTGCCACCCAACCCAGCAACGTCACCGGAGAGACGAGCCGATGCGATGCCAACTGCGCACCACCCAACCACTTCCTTTCTACACAACCATCATGGGCGGATCACGCGGCGACGACCTCCTCGCAAAGGCGGAGAAGAAAGCTTCGTCCTCAACCGGCTGGTTCTCCTCCTCCTCCACTAAGTGGGAGGAGGCTGCTGACCTGTTCCAGCAGGTGCGCCCGACAGGCTTGGCATGGCTGACGGCAGGCGGGCAACGCCTACAAGGTCGACGGGGCATGGGCTCAGAGTGGCAAGGCGTTCGAGAAGGAGGCAGGGTGCCGGATAAAGGCGGACGAGAAGAACGATGCGATGAATGCGTTCCACAACGCCGCCAAGAGCTACAAGAAAGTGGATCCGGCGGGTGAGTAGTTCACGGCAGCAGCTCGCCAGTGGTCGGGCAAGCTAACGGCAGCCGCGGTCAACGCGCTCCATCAGACTATCAAGCTTGTGCTTGACGCTGGCAACTTCCGGCAAGCAGCGGACCGCGAGAAGGAGATCGCGCAGATCTACGCTCAGGACGGGCTTGACATCGCGAAGGCGCGAGACAGCTACCAGCGCGCGGGCGACTGGTACAAGCAGGAGGACGCCAATGCGTGCGTCATGGGCGTTGGCATTACCTGACGGCAGAACGGCAAACCAGTGCTACCAGAACGCGGCCGAGTTGAGTGCCGACCTCGGCGACTACCAGCGCGCCGTGCAGCTGTACACGACGGTGGCCGACTGGTCGCTCACATCCCCATTGACCAAGTACAGCGTCAAGGAGTACTGGCTGCGGGCGGTCATGTGCAGCATTGCGATGGGTGACCTCGTGCTTGCGCAGCGCAACCTCAACGACTTTTCGCAGAAGGACCTCACCTTCCCCTCCACGCGCGAGGCCAAGTTCGCCAAGGAGCTCGTGGACGCGTGCGAGGAGGCCGACGTCGAGCGCTTCACCGCTGCCGTGTACCAGTACGACCAGGTCACCAAGCTCGACAACTGGAAGACCAAGATTCTGTTGCACGTCAAGAAGGCGCTCGAGGAGGACGAGGGTGGTCTGACCTAGCCTGATAGACTAGAGTAATCACGATGTAACTGTATCGGGGTGTGCATGCGTCTATGCGTATACCTATGCCTGGGTGTCCTTGGCCTCGGCCTTTGCTGGCTCGGGCTCGGTCTTCTCCTCCTTCACAGCCTCCTCAGAAGCAGCCTCGGCTTTGACCTCTTCAACGGGGGCGGCCTCAGCCTCCTCTACAGCCTCAGCCTTGACGTCCTCAGCGGCCTCCGCCTCACCCTCAGTCACGAGCTTGGGCTCCTCGAACTCGATCCCCCCGAAAGCCTTGACGATCTCGTCCGCCGCCGCGGCGACCTTGCCCCCCGCAAGCAAGTACTCGAGGTTGGCCGTCTCCTGGCCCGCGAACCCGAACTCGGCGTACTCGTGCACATACGCCTTCATCGCGACGCCCCCCATCGCGTTTTTGCGGATGTAGCGGAGCCAGAGGTCGACGACGTCGCGGTCCGCATCGAACACCTTGATCGCGCGCTTGTGCGTCTTGCGCACAAAGTTCTCCTGGCTCTTCTTGTGGATGAACGGGCCGCGGATGACGGTCGTGAGCTCGCTCTTAGTGGGCAGCGCAGCGGCGCCCGACGTCGGGATCTTGAGCGATGACGCCGCGTGCATCGCGATCCGCGTTTGGATGTCCAGCGCAAACGGGTAGTGAGCGCGCAAGTGCAGCGTCGCGACGTGCACGCCGTGCGTGGGCGGCACGCGGTTCAGCGGCGGGAACTCGAGGCGCAGCTTGTCGCCCGTCTCGACGGGAGACGGGTCGGACGCCTGCGCGCGCGCAAGCTCGTCCCGAGCGATGGAGGAGGTCGCCAGTCTTGGGTCAGTGGATGGCCAGAGCAAACGATGCCAGTCGCAAGGCACCAGAGGTGAGCCGCGGTCGGCGCTCCAGGTTCAACAAGCACCGGAGATGGCGCGCAAGCAATCACTTACCCCCTAGAGGGCGAGGCAACGCTGTTGCCTGCGCGCAGCGCGCAGAGAGCCCGTTTTGACGCCATGGTTGTTGCTGGGAGGGAGGTGGCCGAAATCGAAATCGGAGAGCAAAGGACATTTCCCGAGCGGATGTTATTTGGCCCCCTGATACGCGCGTGGTGGTAGCGTGTCTTTGGTTCCGCTGCAGGAGGGGCATCAACATGGACTGACCGTGTGTAGCTCCAGGACAATGCATACAGCCTGGCTAGGTCTAAGAGATACGTGCATTACATACGCTCGATGGGAGTGAGAGATAGCAGGCGCATGGCGGATGCGAGAACGTGGCGGATCTGGATGAACAGGAACAGGCGGGCCTTTGCCTCCTCCTCCGACGCGCCCGAGACCTTGATCGTCTCCCAGGCCGAGCCGACCAGGTGCGACAGCTTGAAGCACCACGTAACAATAGTGGACGGCTCAGAGAACTTGAGCGCAGTCTTGACCACTTCGGGGTACAGCGCGAGGTGGTAGAGGATCTCGTGGATCTTGGGCTGCGAGAGAATCGAGACGTCAACCTCGTCAGCAGTCTCAGCAACGTGCACATTGGGGTTCTTGCGCTGAACCGAGCACAGGCGGACGTGCGAGTACTGGATGAATGGCCCAAAGTCACCCTCGAAGGATGTGCAGCGCTTAATGTCGAAAGTGTAGTCGTTCAGACGCTTGCCTGTCATGTCCTGGATCTTGACAGCGGTGGCGCCGATGATCGCCGACGTCTCCTCGGGGTCCTCCACCTGCGCGTACTTGGCCTCGTTCGACTTCATGGCCTCGTGCATTGCGTCCTTGGCGTCGAGAAGAATGTCGTCCAAGAACACGACGTTGCCCTTACGGGTCGACATGCCGTGCACCATGCCGAAGGTGACGTGCTCAAGCTTGCCCGCGTACTCCTCGCCCATGAGCTCGACGGTCTTGAACAGCTGCTTGAAGTGCAGAGCCTGCTGGTGCGCCGTGACATAGATGTGCTTGTCGAACTTGTACTTCTGGTACTTGTCGTACGCACCGCCAATGTCACGAGTGAGGTAGATCGAGGTGCCGTCAGCCTTGCGGATAATTGCACGGTCCAGCTTGTACTTCTTCAGGTCGACAAGGAGAGCGCCGTTCTCCTCAGTGACGGTCAACCCCTTCTCCTGGCACACGCGGATAGCACGGAGGATGCTCTCGTCCGACACCTGCGACTCGCCCCAGTACACGTCAAAGTGAACGTTAAGTGTGTCGTAGGTCTGCTCAAGCTTGCCAATGGACAGGTCACGGAACCGGCGCCACTGCTTGAGAGCGGTCTCGTCTCCGTCCTCCATCGACTTGAAGATGCGCTGGGCCTGGGCGTGCGTCGTCGTGCTCGCGTCCGTGATCTCGCCCTTGTTGAACTTCTCCTTTTCGGCCGCGTTGTCCTGGTTGATCTTGACATACACCTGGAAGAGGTGCTTGATGGGGTCCTTCTTCAATTCCTCCTCGTCACCGTAGCGGTCAAAGCCGAGCGACAGCAGACCGTACTGAGTTCCCCAGTCACCAAGGTAGTTGAGACGGGTGACCTTCCACCCGGCGGCATCGTGGAGGTTGGCGATGACGGCGCCGATAATGGTGGAGCGGAGGTGCCCGGCGTGGAAGGGCTTGGCGATGTTGGGCGACGAGAAGTCGATCACCATGTGCTTCCCCTTGCCATCCTCGTTTGTGCCGTACGCAAGCGTTGGACAGTCGGGCTTGGCCTCCGCCGCGTTCGACATCTTAGCGATAGTGTTCAGAATGTGGTATGCGAAGGAAGCGCGGCTGGTGTTAGCGTCAAGCGTGATGCTGCGAGCGTTGCGTCGCCCCCCCATGCCTCGGCGCGCCAGCATACCGGCCGCGTCGAATGCCAATGTGCGCCCGGGTGCGCCGTGCGCCGCTTGTGACACGTGCAGACCTACTTTGCGGTGAACATGAGGAAGGGGCCCTGGGCCTTGACCTCGGACAGGTAGTTGTCGGGCTTGAACTGGACGTCAGCCACGATTCGCATCAGTGCGACCTCGTCCGACATTACACATGTCGACTTCTCTTGTACTCACAGCATCAATGACCTTCTGGACCCACTCGTCCGGCTTTCCCTTCTTGAAACGCGGGGTTGCTACAGCAAAGTCGGCACCCTTCTTGCCGAGGTCGACGCCGGCAAAGATCTTCTCTGGGGTCTCGTCCCAGGCGTCGGCAACAAGCTTTGCTACGGCGGCGCGGAACTGGTCAACTGGCACACGAGCATAGTCGGTGCCGGGGATGGCTGGCACGGGGCCGAGCGCGTACTTTTCAGAGTTGGTGGACATGGTGGAGGAGAACGTGCGGAATGGGGAGGGGGAAGGGAGGGGAGTCGGGCGCGAGATGAGTGTTAGCGCGGGACGCAAGAGTCGGCCGAGGAGCTGAATGGCGGCGAGAGGGGTCGTGAGACGAGTGGAAAGAGCAGTCGGGAAGATGGAGGAGAGGAGTTGGGGAGCCCGCAGAGATTGTGGTTTGCGACAGATTTCAGCGAGGGGCCCGATTGACCACGCGACCACGTGACTTGCACTCGCCTCATCGACTCGAGTCTGCTGCAAGGCACACCACTATCATGTCAACAACATGGCCACTCGAGTCATTCTAGTCGGCATCGGGTATGTTCCGAGCGCGCCTGAGCTGATAGAAGCGGTGCAAGCTGCTCGGGCAAGACGCTGCTTGCCAAGCATCTCGTACGCCTGCTCCCCAGTGCTCTTCTGCTGCACCAGGACGACTTCTGTCCGCCCGAGAAGGACATCCCGGTGCACCCCGAGCACGGCGTGCAGGATTGGGACGACCCACCAACATGTATGGACTGGCCTAGGCTGCGAGACGCTTTGCGGCAGGTTAAAACCACTGGGCATATTGATCATGCGAGCAACGACCATTTGAACCAGCATACCGAGGTGAATGTCGACCCTACAGTCGCGGAGCGGTGGAGGAAGCGCTTTGCGCAGGCTCCCGCTGTGCGATGGGTGCTGGTGGACGGATTCGTGCTTTACTGGGATCAAGTGGTCGCCGACACCCTCGACGTCAAGCTGATGCTTCGTGTGCCAAAGGAGACGCTCCGGACACGTAGGGACCAGCGGTCATACGCGCTACAACGTGAGTGACGGCTGCTGTTCGGACGCGCTGCCACTATAAGACGATTATCTTACTCCAGACACCGACGATGTTGCCGCTGGCACAGTGTGGGAGGACCCGCCTGGGTACTTTGACAACATTGTCTACCCTGCGTACGTAAAGGCGCACGCCGAGGTGTTCAGAGGAGCCGACGTCGAGGAGGGAGATGTGGAGCCCGACTCAGGCGTTGTGCTGATTCACCCGCCGCATGGGGAGGAGGGTATGACTGAGGCACTGATAGAGGCGTGTGAGGCGTTGCTGGCCGCTGCGACAGAAGGCCAAGGACACGAGACAGACCAGTTGTAACAACGCTTGTAGAAGGGGAGCATGTTGTGAGCATTTCAACATTCGTACTCCATGCATGTACCAGGTGTGAATGACGTGTATTATTTAGCTGGGCGGCTGGTGTGACGCAACGGGCGTATCAAGGGAAGGGGATGTCCCCACCCTGCGTGCCGCCGTCACCACCTCAACAGCACCGCCGGCTCTCATCGCCATCCATCCACCCGCCCTCGCCATGCCCGACCCACGCATCAGCGACGCAGACCTCGCCAACATCAACGCCGTGCGTCATCCTACGCTCAGCCAGCTGACCTCAGGCCGCGGCGGTCCGCGAGTTCAACATCAACCCCCGTCTCGGTGAGTGACAGCTGCGGCCGCACCGAAGTCTACTGACACCAGACTACCGTACTGTCTCGGCCGTCAACGGGTGTGTGAGCATCAGTAATCCGTACTGACTTCAGACCTCTCGTTGTTCTGGACAATGTCTCTGTAAGTCTCATATGCGCTGCTTCACGAGTGGCTTAATCACGTCCTCCTTCCCCCGATACCTTACCTCCGCTGCCCGCCCGGCCTTGCCTGTGCTAACCTCAGTTCCCTTCCTACAACGAGATTGTCCAGCTCACGCTCCCCGACGGTACGGTCCGCGGCGGTCAGGTGCTCGAGGTTAGCGGCAAGAAGGCCATTGTGCAGGTGTTTGAGGGTACCTCGGGCGTCGACACCAGCGCAACCCGCATCTCATTCTCGGGTAGCTCCATGAAGCTCGCCGTGTCTGAGGACATGCTGGGTCGTGTCTTCAACGGTTCGGGTAACCCCATTGACAAGGGACCGCGCGTGTGGGCCGAGGACTATCTCGACATCAACGGTGTGTCCAATGCACTCGGCTCCTTCGAGGCTGACTCCAGGCTCTCCCATTAACCCGTACTCGCGTATTTACCCCGAGGAGATGATTCAGACGGGTATCTCGACCATCGACACCATGAACTCGATTGCACGTGGCCAGAAGATCCCCATCTTCTCCGCCGCCGGTGAGTAACTGTGGCACGCTGTGCCCGTGCTCCTTATTGACCCCAGGTCTGCCGCACAACGAGATTGCGGCCCAGATCTGTCGCCAGGCCGGCCTTGTCAAGCGTCCAGGTGCCACCAAGAGCGTGCACGACGGACACGAGGACAACTTCTCGATCGTCTTCGCCGCCATGGGTGTCAACATGGAGACTGCCCGCTTCTTCATGCAGGACTTCGCCGAGTCGGGCGCCATCTCAAACTCTACGCTCTTCGTCAACTTGGCATCCGACCCGACCATCGAGCGTATCATTACACCGCGTCTTGCCCTCACCACCGCCGAGTACTTCGCGTACCAGCTCGAGAAGCACGTGCTTGTTGTCATGACCGACATGTCGTCGTATGCCGACGCCTTGCGTGAGGTCTCGGCTGCGCGTGAAGAGGTCCCCGGTCGCCGTGGTTACCCCGGTTACCTTTACACAGACTTGTCCACGATTTACGAGCGTGCCGGCCGTGTCGAGGGCCGCAACGGTTCGATCACCCAGGTGCCCATCCTGACCATGCCCAACGACGATATCACCCACCCCATCCCTGACCTTACGGGATACATTACCGAGGGCCAGATCTTCGTTGACCGTCAGCTGCACAACCGCCAGATTTACCCGCCCATCAACGTCCTCCCCTCGCTTTCGCGTCTGATGAAGTCTGCTATCGGCGAGAAGCTCACGCGCAAGGATCACGGTGACGTCTCGAACCAGCTGTACGCAAAGTACGCCGTCGGCAAGGACGCTGCGTCGATGAAGGCCGTCGTTGGTGAGGAGGCGCTGAGCGCGGATGACAAGCTCGCGCTCGAGTTCCTGGACCGCTTCGAGAAGGAGTTCGTGGGCCAGGGCTCGTACGAGAGCCGCACCATTTTCGAGTCGCTCGACATTGCGTGGGACCTCCTCCGCATCTTCCCCAAGGAGTCGCTCAACCGTATCTCGCCCAAGATTCTTGCCGAGTTCTACAGCCGTAAGGCCAAGGAGGTGTCGAGCAAGAAGGGGGAGAAGAAGGAGGAGAACCTCATCGATGCGTGAGACGGTGTATCGTTGGAGATTGTGGCCCAGCGCCAAAATATGAGTAATACCCTAGCCGCCAAGCGATAGCGCGGGCGGAGTAGAAGATGGATGACTTCAGAACCACAATGCGTTGCGTACATAGGCTACAGTCCACTCATGCTATTTGCGACCGAGCGTCATCTGGATAGTGCGGTCGTATCCAACACTGACAACTTCCCACCCGCCCTCATCTCCAAGCGGGACGACTGCAAGGTCGCGAACAACGTCGCTGGTGCCCGCAACACCTGCCCTCGCAGCGTGTACCTTCAACTTGTTCCTGACCTCGCCCTGCAGAGACAGCAGGGTGAGCTCACCGTTCGCGTTTGTCGTGACGATGCCTTTCCCACTGGGGAGGAAAGCAAGCCGTGGCAACACGAAAGCGTCCGGCTCACTGCGCGTCCATAGGCATGCAAGGCGCTCCGTTTCATCAGGTTCGACGCCGTACAACAGGATGCGCTCGGCACCTGGCCCTGCGTGGTCGCCGGTAATCGCTCCGATCAGCCGGCCGGAGGGATGCAGCGCGAGGTCGAGCACGGCAAACGAGACGTGCGTGTCGAGAGCGTGGGCGTTGAAGCTCTTTGTGCGTGTCGGCCACTCCCAACCCTCGGTCGACGGAGAGCTCGGAAGGCCAAGGTAGTGCAGCTCGGGGCTCTCGCGCTGAGTGTACATCAGCCAGCTTGAGGCGGGATGGAAGAGCAATGCCTCGGGGTTGCCCTGTGTAACGACGCGCTTCTTCAGCTCGTACCGCAGCTCGGGGTCCGCCGCAGCGTCCGCGTCATCATTCGGGTCGAGGGCATGCAGCCACGCGTCGGCGTCCTCGTCCCCCGTCTCCGTGTGCTGGGCTGCGCCCAGGGCCTCGTACACGCTAACACTCTTGTCGTAACTCGCGGCCGCGAGCCACCTCCCGTCCTTCGAGAAGGACACGCGGACGACGAACTTTGCCCCGCTGAAGGTCTGGAGCGCGGTGTGCGTCACCGTGTCCCACAGCATCAAGGCGCCGTCCATCCCACCGCTCACGACGTAGCGGGAATTTTTGGGGTGGATCGCAAGGCAGAGCACCGGCGCCTTCCCTTGGAGCATCTGCACGACCTGGCGTCAGCAAGCACAAGAATCAACGCACCTCGCCGGACTCCCAGTCGACGATGCGAATCGTGCGGTCCGCGCCGCCTACGACGATGCTGCGCGCGTGTCGTGTCTCATATTCTGCCGTAGCGGTGTTGAAGGACCGCCGAGGGAGGTCAGCGACCGCGACAGCGGTGAGGTTGCCGTCGGTGATGTGCTCGAAGGCGCGGTCGGACCTGAGCTTGTCTGAGGATGGGAGGGGCTCGGCTAGGAGCGCTTTGAGGTCATCGACCGGCGCTATGTGAATGTTATTCAGCTGGGACGCGAGCTGCGCTGCTCGCGCATCTGTGACTAGTGTGAGGAGGTCTGGATTCGGCGGATTAGAGAGGTCGGGCGCGGGCGTGTCGGAGGCCGCGAGGAATGGGTGGAGAGCTGGTCGGGCGTGGGTCGCGAGATAGTGCGCGATGAGGGTGTTGAGCTGTTTGTCGGACATCGCAGCGAGGAGGGGGAGAGTGAGGATTATACCTGACTCGCTTGAAGGAATGGGTCGGATGTCCAAGTGGGAGATGAGTAATAATGTCGGAGTGAGAGTTGAAGTGGTGGAGGCACATGGTGGAGGACCAGGGTGGAGGCCTCCACTCCGACTTCATGCGGATCCAACACGACTTTGTTGTCAACAACTACTATCCTATCCTCAACCCCCAGCCATGGACGGCATCCTCTCGACGTTCTTTGGCACGGTAGCCATGGCCTTTGCCGTGGGCAGCGGCGACAACCTTGCCATGGCCGTCCCCGTGACCGAGGAGCATCCGTACTACTGGCCGCTGCACGAGGCCGTCCAAAACGTGAGCAAGTCCTCCGATCTCTGACGCGCTGACAGCAGCTCCCCAAATCGCAGCTCACCCCACAGAGCATTATGCGCTCGTTGAACAGCATCCAAGGCTTGCCACAAGACCTAAAGTGGCCCGTCGCGGGCTTGCTCTCATCCGTGCTGGCCTTCGTGGGCGACGGGCCCGGCGACGACGCCGACGGCACCTACCGCGCCTTTACGAACATCCTCGCCGTCCACTCGTAAGGTTCCCCGCTCCACCGGCTAACCCCAGACACTTGCGCAAGCTGTACTCGCAGAACGGCGACGAGGGATACCTCTATCCCTTCCTAAACCCGCTCATGATCGCAGTGTGCCGCAGAGTCGTGCAGGTGGGTGACATCGCGGCGTCGTACTCCACAGCGAGCATGCGCGAGCAGTCATCCCCGCGTAGCATAAGAGACGGGGCACGACAGGCCCTCGAACGCTCTATCCAGGTCGCGAGCGCGGCGCTGCAGGGCCCAGAGTGGAACCAGGCGTCAAGAGCCGACTACACTGTCGCGGACGCGCTCTGGCCCCTCGCCAACCTTCTGTGGCGGATGTATGCCGCAAGACGCTTGCATACGCAGGCCGCCGAGCTTGCCAAGACATTCAGCAACCTTGTGCCGTCCGAAGAGGAGCGTCTCAGAGCGCGCGGGCACGTTCTGAGCACCGGCACGCTCGCGGAGAGCTACTACTGGCGCGGACGGCTCGGTATTGTGCTTCTCGACTTCCGGCTCGCACGGCGGTGGCTTGAGAAGGCATGGGGCGTAGCCCCAGATGACGGGTGGAAGCAGAGACAGTGAGTGAGCACAGCGGGTGCGGTAGCTAACACTAGATCAATTCTCATCAAGCTCATCCCCGCGGCGCTGCTCACGGGCTCCCTTCCCGCCGCAGGGGTGTTGGAGGAGTACGACCTCCCAGTGTTCGCGCCGCTCATCGAGGCGTTCCGAGACGGCAACGTGCCACGGTGGCGCGCGCTGCTCGAGGAGCACAGAGTATGGCTGCGCGCGCAGCACATCTGGCTCCTCCTCTTCGAACGGGGCGAGATTATCGTCTGGCGCAACCTCTTCCGCCATGCGTGAGCTATATGGGCTGTGCAGAGCTGACAACAGATTGACAGCGTACTATCTCGCCGCGCCAGAAGCGCCGCGCAAGCTATGCCCGACGTGGGTGTTCGTCGAGGCCGCACGGACCGCGTTCGCAGGCAGTGGCGAGCTCGAGGAGGACTTGGTGCTAGAAGACATTATCTGTGTCTTGTCGAGCTTGATTGACCAGGGGTTGATCATGGGTAACATCAGCTACTCGCAGCGGCAGTTGGTGATGCGACCGCCGGAGAAGGGCGGTGGCTTCCCCCGAGTGAAAGATGTAGCGCCACGGAGGGTACAGGCGATTAGCTAGGTGATGTCTTGGGTCTAGGGATGCATCCAGAGTCATAGCATAATCTAGTCGCTGCGAGCGCGCGCGGTTGAGGTGCGGGGGAGAGGGGGAATGTAGTTCGAGGAGGAGGGTTGAGGACTGAGTACGGAGCGGCCAGTCGTGGTCTTGGGGCAGCTTACACCTGCTCGACGGAGGAGTACTCGCTCTCGACCCCTGGCTCCATAAGGACGGCGTGGGCGAGGATAAGAATAGCGCTTGAGCCGATGAGCCAGAAGAAAAGGCTGAGGGGGTTTGCGATGATAAGCAGCGGGATGCCGATGACAAAGAGAGCAATGTAGAGGGTCTTCTGCGTGATGACCTGGTTGCCGACGGTGACGGGGTCAGGACCTGGATGTCAGCGCGGGCTGCCAGTCTCTGAGCTGCAGAATGGCCGGGATGGTCTTCCACCAGCGCTCGCGGCCTCTCAAACTCACCGAACTTGTTGATAGCCGCGAAGCCGCCGGCGAAGAGGCCGATGACGATTAGGAGGAGGGGATTGGTGAGGCTTATATCAGCGCAGGAGCCAAAGTACTCACAGAGCCCACACGGCGAGGAGCACAACGATCAAGAGGTAGTTGCCGCTGAAGTTGCGTGCGTTGTACGTGACGCGCTGCGTGGCCTCGTTCATGTCCCGCGGGCGCGACAGCTGGCGGTGGTCGAACTGGTGTAAGCGCAACGTGGGAGAGGTGTGGGGCAAAAGCCTAGCAGCGCGGGGCGGAGGAGGAAGCGAGCTCCGTCCACGACACGCCGCTACCAGTCCGCGCACGCCGGAGCACTCACAAACTCCTGCGGCGGCTTGAGGCCAGATAACCGCTGCTCCTGCTGTCAGATTGCACCAGAGAGAAAGCCTTCCGAAAACTCACGCGGAAGTTCTGCAGGCCATCGACGACTTTTCCGACAATTTCCATTGTTGATGTGAGTGAGCTGGGGGATGAGAATGGAGCGGAGAGAGATATGGACAAAGTTGGCTTGGTGGCGATTGCGGTGTCAGGCACCGTCCACAAATGGCACCGCCCTGTGCTGCCCCACTTGTCACAACCGTTGACGTGAGCGACGGCGACGAGCAGCCGCCGGAACACATCATGCGTGCTGTGCTCCTCGTGACCGCGCCGTGACCGCGCCGCCCGCGCCGCCCGCACCACCGGCGCCGAGTCGCAAGCACTGACTGGGCTGGAGGCATCACTCGCAATGAACTGGAATGATCCCTGTCGGCATGACGTGTGTTGACAATTGCGCCACCTCAACACCTCGATGAACAACTCGGCGTCTTGTACTTTCACCATGTCCAAACGTTCCCACCACGATGACCACACGCTCAGCCCGGCCCCCAAACGCGCCCGGCAGCTCGATGCAGCCGCAGCCCTCGCCCCGTCGCTCGACACTTGGCTCAAGCCGTCCTCGCCCGTGCCCCAACCACTGTTAGCATGCAGTCCACCCCTTCACGCCTCATCATCAACCTTCATCTCCCTTGCGCTTTCCTTCGTGCCCCCCTCCTCCGTCCGCACCGCCGAATCCCTGCGAAAAGAAGCATTGCGTGCTGTCCACGCGCTCGACGTCGTGCGCCTCGTGGGCGCCGACCTGCTTGCCTCGAACGAAGGCTGCTTTGCACATGGAGAAGGCCGTGCCACGTCCCGACGCGGCGCCGAGCGCGCCCGCGACCCCGACCATAAGATGTGGGCCGTGCGCACCCTCGCCCTCGCCGAAGGGCGGGACGGGACGCGGGGCGATGGTGATTATCAAGTACGTCTTCCTTGTTCGTCGCTCACGCAGCTTCTTGAGACTAGCGACGACGACGGAGAACGCTTCGGCGGCGAGCGGGTGCTACGAACGCTGCGCGAAACGGGTGCTGTAGACGTCCTCTGTGTCGTCTGCCGCTGGTTCGGCGGTGACATGCTTGGCGTGAGTGCGCGAAGGGATGACGGAGCTGATCCAGCCCGCGCGGTTCACGCTCATCGCAACGGTCGCGCATACGAGCAGCAAGGAGCTGGTCGCGATGCTTGCGCGGCGCGAGTTGCGAACCGCAATCAGCGCGCTGGACGCCGAGATCGTCGAGATGCGGGCCACTATTGTACGAGGCGAGGGAAAGGAGACGGCGCAAGAAGGGGAGGGGAAGACAGCCGTGCCAACCTACGACGACATAGACGACGTGTCCCGTCTCCAGCGTCTGCTGCGCGCGCGGGAGATGACACAGAAGAGCCTCGAGAAGCGCGTGGGGTGGGCCGCCCTCGAGATTGCGCGGGTACAAGCCGAGGCCGAGGCGCTCGCGCGGGAGGCTGAGGAATAGATGCATGAGAGTCAGATCCAAAGATAATGACGATATCAAATACAATACCTATTGCTGATTACCATAAGGTTTATTGCCCACCTGCAACGCACGCATGCAAGCATGTATATAATGTGCTACACACACTGCATGCATGCATGTAGATAATGCCTTGCAGCACTTTCGAAGCGTCGAGCTGGTTCGGAAGTGGATTGGAAGTGGTTAAAACGGCTGTTCAAATGGCGGATGCTAAGTGTCGCACAAACATTCCCAACTCCGACTCACCTCCTTCTCACCATCTCCCATCCACCATGATCCGCCTCAACCCCACATCCATCCGCCTCCGCCAGTCCGACGTCAAGGCGCTGCAGGACGAGCTGGAGCGGCGCCGCGAGCTCGCGAAGAAGGCGGGCAACACTGCCGCTCCCAAGAATCCAGCACAGCACAGCGCGCGCAAAGACAAGGACAAGGACGCGCGCTCGCGCTCCGCGCGCACCGCCAACGCCAACACCAGCACCAGCACTAGCACGAACGACAACCAGAACGCGCCGCAGCCCGCCGACCAGGCGGTCGAGGAACGCCGGCGGCGCCGGGCGGCGATGAGCGCTCAAGAGCGCATCGGGTACATCTGTGAGTTGCGTGCGGTGTGCGCGGGGCTGATGGCAGAATGCTTCGCTGCCTCCTATCCCTTTACCCACATCCCCCGCCCCATCTCATATACCCAGCATCTCCCATCACCACTATGTCACAATAGCATCCTATACATCTGCCGGCACGCATCTAATATCCTCGTCGCAAGCGCTCGATCTCCGCCGCCTGCGCCGCGATCGTCTCGCGGCTCATCCGCAGCTCCTCGACCAGCGGGGCGACGGCCGCGCGGATCTCATTCTGGCGTCAGCGCATCCACCCATGCCCCTCTTCGCTCACCTTCAAACTCCGCCCCATGCGCAACATGTCCATCTGCATGTCGCCAATCTCGCGCCGCAGCTCCTCGAGCGCATCCCACCCCGGGCCACCCGTGGCGGAGCTCGTTGCGGACGAAGCCGCATCGTCCTCCACGAAGACGAGTGTGGGCGGCGCGCGTGACGCCAGTGGCGTGGCTGCAACTGTAGAGATAGTCTGGTCGGGATCGTGTGCGGGCCGAATTCGCGCTGTCGACGCGACGGAGGGCGGGTCCGGCGCGCTCACGGTACGTTTATCGAACCCGACCTTCTTCGGCACATTCGTGCGTTCGCCCAGCGCTGTGCCGCGATGTCTGGTTTTTTCGGGGGCGGCCATAGGCGCGGGGTGCATGGCCAACACGCCTGTGTATGGCGCCTCGGCGATTTCGCGGGTCTCGACGTCGACGAGGAGCACATTGCCTGGCGTCAGCGCTGCAGATTCCGTGCTTACCTGCCGTAGTCCACACCGCCACTGTTCCAGAGCTGAGGAACGTCACGCCTGCGGCCTCGTGGCCCAGCCCGACGATCTCGCTGTTCAGCGCGAGCATGTCCCCGCCCACGGCCGCGACGGTGTCGCCCGACACTGCGACGTCGATGATGCCGGGAAGGGGAAGGGGGAGGTGCGTGACGCCGTCCCGGACGACGCGCACAAGCCCTGCAGAAGACGGGATCAGGATGGCGGGGACCTCAGAGTCCGCGACAGCGACGGCGCGCACAGGCTAGCGTCAGCGTCAGCGCGGCACAGCACGCACCATCGTGACCTCGACGTCGGGCACGTCGATGCGTATGCCGCTCTCGATCGCGTACGCCTGCACCTCCGCGGCGCAGAGGACGAGCACGCCGCCGCCGGCGCGCATCGCCGTGACGCGCGGCACGGCGAGGGTGTGCGCGAGGCCCCAGCGCGCCGCGCCCTTCCCGGCGCGCCGGAAGACGCGGACTTCGTCGGGCAGCGCGACGGCGAGGGCGCGCGCGTCCGCTGCCACCGCGGCCGGCGGGACGGGGAGCGCGAGCTCGCCTTTGCGCCGCCCCAGCGCGTCGTATTCCCACAGCCGCGCGTCGGCCCAGATGAAGACGTTGCCGGAGGGTGCGGAGGTGGAGCGTGGGGGGGCGCGCGGGAAGCGCGAGGGCAGGGAGATGGGCGTCGACGTCGACGGCGTCGCTAGAGATAGCGAGGAGGCGTGTACGAGGATGGCGGACATGGTCGTGGTGGTTGTTGTTGTGTGAGATGGGGGGTTGTTGACATCAAAGTCAGTCGCGGCGGAAGTATTTTGTGCGTGGTATCGGATCAAGCCGAGTTTCAAATCAGTCCTAATGTGGCTTACTTGAACACACTCCAGCAGTAGGACTCGACATGTCATCTAGATCTATTGCGTGCAGGAGAATGCTCGGGCAGCAGCTAGTTGAGAGGCTCTGACGCGACGTCGGGCGCCGTCCGGTTCCCAGCAGGCACCTTGGCGCCGAACGCATACTCGCCCTCGTCTTTGGCCATGCGGCGGGTCCGCCTGATGTGCCCGGTCGCGCGCTCGCGCTCGAGCTCGTCCTCAGCCTCGCGCTTGCCCGTGGGCCCGAACCATGCGTTCCAGCGCCCCGACTTCTTCGGCTCGGGGAGGTACGTCGTGCTGTCGGGCATGAGGAGGATGTGGTACTGCGGCGCGGTGAGGAGCCAGTCTTCGAGCAGCGCGAGGTTGCGCAGGTTGGCCTTCCACAGGTTGTCGAGGATGTCGCCGACGAAGGGGATGATGCCGACGGCCGTGTCGAGGAGGACGTTGATGATCTGGGTGAGCCGGAGTGAAGACTTGGAGGATGGGGGGAAATGAGACTCTCAACAGCCCACAATAGCCCGGCGTTGTCGCTACCATCTCCCACCAACCACACTCACCATGCGCACACACACTTCGACGGGCACACCAAAGATCCATGCGAGCCAGACCTGGTACAGCTGCATGATGCCCGAGATGATGTCGCCCCAGATCGGCACGAGGGAGATGATGTCGTCGAGGCCCGCGCGGAACGGTAGTCCGAGGTCAGAAAGCATGGGCGCGGCGTCGAGGTAGAACGCGACTGTCATCAGTGTTGGCTTCCAAGGCGCTGTCGCCGACTAACCCGTCCGCACGTGGTTGTACAGTCTGCCGTCAGCCGGGACACAGTAGCGAGGGAATTAGATACAGTGATGCAAGGCCAGCACCACTGCCGCCTACCTACTCACTGCTGAGCTTCTTTGTCGTCTCGCGGGCGGCGGTGCAGGACGGGAGGGCGCATGGTCGGCTGAAACGCGCCAAAGCGTGCCGCGCGCCGGTTCTTACCCGCGGCAGCCGCGTTGGGCGAGTACGCGCCGTAGATTGCCTGGGCGGCGGACCAGATGGACATGGTGAGTAATGGTGGGATGTACGGAGCGTGGATGAGATGGAATAATACAGATGGCAAGAGTCAAGATGTGCGGAGCAAAGAGATGGTAAAGTGAGGCGTTAGGGACGAGGGTGACGATCGGCGATGACATCAGCGCGGCGTCATGGACCCTGCCACTGTCACCTATCGACTCGCCACCAACCGGGACAGACGAGATCCATAACACTACTCTACCTATGCACAGCCGCCGCAGCGGGCTACAGACCATCCACTCCGTCTGTACACAACATGAATATTCGTCTCCGCACCTCCCGTCGTCCCCCCGCGTGTTACCGCTTGGCCGCCAACTCGTCGATCACTCGCTGCAGCGCGCCGATGTGTTGCCGCGCAAGCGGGTCTTGGCGATAGCTCAGCTGCGAGATGCGCTGCTTGAGGTCCTCCGTCACCACATGCGCCACGCGCGGGAAGTAGCCCCGGATGGTCTGGTCGTTTGGCTCCAGCTTATCGGCCGCGCGGGCGAGCCACGTCGCAACAGTGACGAATACTGGGTCTTGTGGGGCCACACCAGCGAGAGCGGAGGAAAGCTGAGGTCAGCGCTGTTATAACAGCATTACTCACGCGATGGATCAGCGTAAGGAGCACCACCTGCGAAAGGGGGCTGCGGTTGGGACGCTGCGGGAAGAGGTACTCGGTGCGCGGCGCAAAGTCGGTCACGAGCTTGAGCGTTGCCGGAGCCGACTGCGCGCCGAGGGCCGAAAGGAACGTGTCCTCAATCTGCTTCGGGGTCTCGAATGGTGATCGCGACTGCCCCGGAGGCGGAGCTTGAGAGGTCGGCGGCGAGATAACAGACATAGAGCGCGCGTGCGTGGGAGGCGCAGGACCTGGCGGCGGAGAGCGCGCTGACAGCGCGGCGATTTGGCGCTGCAGAGACTCGACCATGGACGACAGATTGTGAATCATGTCGTTGGTACCGGCCAATGCGTCACCCTGCTCGGCGACGACATCTTTGCGGATTTGCACCATCTCCGACTTGAGGTCAGATGCGAGCTGGTCGTAGACACGGGTCGTGGCCGCCTCGAGCGCCGGCATAAGATTCTGCTCGATTGCGTCACGAACAGCGCGATCGACAGCCGGCTGGACCACCGAGTTGAGCGTCCGAGGGACGATTGGTGTGAGGATGCGTTCGATGTCGCGGTCAATGTGCTGCAATGACTGGTGGAGGGTAGCAGGCACCAGCTCACGCACGGCGCTCTGAATAGCGGCGGGGACGGCGCGCTGGAGCTCTTGCTCGACAAGCCGAGGAAGGTTGGACTGCAGATGGGTCGTAACGGCCGCAGTCAAAGTCGACGACACGTCTACACCGCCGCGTTTGCCTGAGCCGAACTCAGCCTGCACAGCTTGCCTGAACTGATTGCTGAGCTTCTCCTCAGTCTTCTTGAGTGCCTTGCTCAGGTCGTCGGCGGTAAGGCCAGCAGCAACCGCAGCAGCAGGCTTGGGTTCCTCAGGCGCAGTCGCATCCGTCTTGACCGGGGAAATGCCGCGCACCGATTCCTTGCGCACAGTCGAGGGCGTCTGCGCACGCTTCTCGACCTGGTTCACACGACCACGAGTGCGCTTATTGTCGACAGGCTTGTCCAGAACACTTGGCGTCTCCAGGCTTGTCTGCTCGACCTTCACGTCCTGCTTCTGTTCGACCGCCTTGCTCTTCGCCGCAGCGGGAGCTGGAGCCGAACCGTTCTGGGCGAGGCTGCCGAGGGCAAGCTGAGCGCGGTTGATCCGTTGAGGCGTGGCATACACAATGTCCGCCGACGCAGATGCGGAGTCACGCGAGCGGGGGCTGACAACGAAGGACACCATCGGGTCCATCGGGAACTCTGCCATAGCGTCAAAGGCGAGGACAGGCGTAGCGTCTGGACCGGTGAGGCCTCGAAGCGGCTGTGTGCCCTTGAGCTTGTAGTGGAATGCGTAAATGGAGCCGCGGGCGAACTGAGAAATGAAGAGGGTTTCATTCTCACTGTCGTATACCGCGTTGCCAAACGACAGCTGTGACTCGGGAGCAGTGAATTTGATGGTGGAGATGACCGCCAACTCGTACGTGATTTGTACGAGATCGAACATGGTATCGTTGGCTCGGCCGACGACGATGTGGGCCTCACAGAACCGCACAGATGACAGTGGTGCAGCCGTGTTGGAGGATGGCAGCTGGCGGTGCCAAACCTTGTTGAAAGAGGCCACCGAATAGAGGCAAAAGTAGCCCGACGAGGAGATGAGCGCAATGGCCTGGTGAGTAGCGTTGAGGCAGAACTGCACCACAGGACCACTGGCCTTGAGCACGCGGTGGTTTGCGAGCATCTCCTTCGCATTGACGAGGGGGGCTTGCTGACCCCAGTTGTCGGGCTTGACAATGACAACGCCCTCGGTGCCGCCGATGGCCAACCAATTGGCGACAGATTCGCCCTCCCGGCGCACCCACTCAACCTGCTTGATATCGCCGAGGCCCTTATCCGCAGGTACAGAGCCAGGGCTAATACGCGGTAAACTGAAGATAAGGGGACAGTCCGGGTCATCTTGGTCCCAGCTTGGGGGAACACGGTAAGCATTGACAGTGCCGTCAGCCAGGACAACAGCGAGGCCGCCGGCTGTGACGGCGAGATCGATTAAAGGACCGGTTTGCTGGAGCTGAATAAGGGTACGCGCTCCGGACTGCATGTCCAAGAGACGGATGCGACCGCGTGAGAGTGTGTAGGCAATCCACCCGCCGGCAGAGCCCACGGTGCGGCCACGCGAGAATCCCACAGACTCGGCCTTCATTATCGTAGCGGGTTGCACTGCCACCGCACCCGGTTCACTGATGACCGCCCCCCAGTTGGCCTGGGCCATGTCAATCGTCACACCGCCAGGAGAAAGAGTGAGGGGACCCGTTCCCTCGTTGCCGTCGCGAAGAATCTGCGAGGCAAGCGAGGGTCTAGTCACGTCCTTCCTCGAAGCCGAGGCTGGAGGGGATGGGGCCGAAGGTGTCTGGAGCGCGAGGGCCCCCGCGGCCGCAGCCTGCGGGGTGACATGCTCGTGCTTGACGGGTGACGAGGGGGCTGGAGTCGATTTGGCACTCGGGGTATGGGCGGGAGATGCCACCCCTGTCGACGCCTTGCCAGAGGATAGATGCTGGGGAGGCGCGGGTTTGTCAAACGCCTCAAAGGGCGAGACAAAGTCGAAGGGCGAGCCAGAGGGCAAGGCTTGCGGCACAGGGTTTGCAGGAGCGGAAGACTGGTATGACAGAGGCGGGCTCATGACACTCGTAATGGGTGGCGGGGTGATACCGGGCGGAGGGAGGGATGCAGTAGTGGGCGCAGGGTGAGTGATGACGGGCTCGCTCAAGGCGGCGGGCGTTGCTTTCATTGGAGGCGATCGTAACATACCCAGAAGCGAGGCGCGACGCTGCTCCTCGCGCTGAGGGGGCAGGGGACCAGATGCGGGACGGCTGGGCTCTGGCGTGGTCTGGGCTGAGCCCGCATTGGCGCCCAGTGACAACATGCCTAGAAGTTTGGCGTGGTGCTGACCAGGTGGCGAAGTCGCGAGGGAGGCCTGGCCAGACGCAGGAGGAGAGGGCGTCGGCTTTGACTGGGCAGAAGCACTGTGCTCGGTAGTCTGAGAAATGGACTTGAACAGGTCGTCAAGGGACACGGTCTGGAAGCTAGGAGGAGGAGGAGGGGGCGGGGGAGGGAGGGGCGGCGATGTGGCCGAACCCGAGGGGCGCTCACTCGAGCCCGTGCTCCCTGTCGGGCCCGCAGGCGAGATGGGGGTGGACGAGTCAGCGGTGGATGGGCCAGCCTTGATCGCGTTGAGCATGGCGAGGAGGTGGTTGGAGGACTGCATGGTGGTAGAAGGGGGGTGGCGGTGGTAGCTGTTTGGAGGAGAAAGAGAATGGCGGGAAGGATGTGGGTGTGCATAGCGCGAGAGAATCCAAGTGGGAGAGGATATGAGGTCAGCGTGTGTACGGAGGATGGAAGATGGAGATGAAGAGCGTTGCGCGACAAGGGCACTTACGAAGCAAAGCTATTAGTAAGTGGTAGCGTTGAGAGCACAGTAGATGAGCAGCGTGATGAGAAAGAGATGGGATGGGATGGGATGGGAATGGGGTGGAGGCGAGGGGAGGAGATGAGATGGGGTGAGAGGGGGTATTGGGGGTATATGGGTCGAAGGAGTGAAGAGAGAGAGGGGGATGGGGATGCCGAGAGAGAGAGGGAGAGAGAGAAAGAGGATGAGAAGAAGAGAGATGATGAGAAGAGAGATGGAAGAGAGGAGGAGGAGAAGCAAAGTCGATCGCGAGCGACACTCAATGCGTCCATTGCCTCACATGACGGAATCAATTGGCCAATGAATGGCATGACCCTCCTAGCCCTTCAATCAACCGTGCGCACCAACACTGCACGCAGTCCTCGCAGTTCATGCTACAGTAATAGCGACATGCGCTGCACCTCGCACTCGCGCACACTGTGACATTCTATATCATGCATATGTGTGCGACGTCGACTAGTGGACACAAAGCAAGCTGCGACTCTCACTGGGCCACGACTCGTGTAAACATGGCCCGTGGCCCGGACATGACTATTATACGCAGCTTATAAGAATTGTAGGGTACAGGCGGGAAATACGGTTGATCAATACTGCGGTTAGTGCGTGTCCCCCTTCGACGTCGGCCATGACCGCGAGGTCATGCACAGCACTCTGTCTACTCACCTTCTCGCCTGCTGCGCGCCCTGTGGCGAAGCGGCCGCACGCCCCAAAGAAGGAAGCACACATGGCCATGATCATGGCTGCGACAGCGCCGACAGTGAACCAGTTGGCGTTGCCGAGGGTCGCATTGTACCCAGCGTCGTTGACGCGGTTCTTGAGCACGTTCCAGAGGACCATGTCAATAACAAAGATGACAAGGCCGGCGAGTGCGCCGAGGAAGCTCAAGAGGGCCATCATGATGGTCGCGGCGCGCGATGCGCATGCTACACCAATGAGCCCGCACAGGAATGCGAGAAAGGAGAGCGCGCCAGCAATGGGGTGGAGGATGAGGGTCTTGGAGAGGTTGTGCAAAATGTCAGAGTTCATCTGGATCCTGTTGTTAGCTTGTGCTGCGTTTGGACGAGGCTCACAGAGTGTTGTCCAATCCCTGGGCCTGGAGGTTGTAGCCGATGGAGCGGCGGGTACACAGTCGCTCGGTTGCTTTCAGGCAGAGGCCGAAGACACCGTAAACATTCCTGCCTGCGGGTGTCTCGACGTTGAGGAACGACACACGCTCCCATACGGGCGGGGAGATGGACGCGAAGAGGAGCAGCACCGCCGCCGCGAAGGCGAGGAACATGCCGGGGAAGCTGGGGTCAGCAACGGCGTCAGGCGTCTGGGTCGGGGAAGGGCGGCGGGCGGTGAGGGCGGGCGGTGGTATGCGGGCATGTCAAAAGCGACGGCGCGGACAAAACGGAAGAGAGGAGCTGGGAGGGAAGCGAGGGCCATGGCACTGCCATGGTTGCGACCAGGACGCTTCTCCTCATCAGCGAGCAAGACCTCACAGTGTTGTTCACTGTGCTCACAGAGCAAGGCCGATGCATGACGCCACCAGTCACCTCGGCCCAATCGTTGTAGCCTTTGTTGAAAGATCGACCGCCGCCGCTCCCACCCACACCTTTCGCGCTCACGCTCAATCTCGAACAGGACACTCACGCTGGGGACGGCATGGCGGATATCAGTTGCGATGTAGTTGCAAGATGGGTAACAGCAAGACAGGATCGCAAATTATAGGAGCCTTGTAACGCGCTAAGCGAGGTTGTGCGGGCCGAAGGATGAGGGCGGTGTGGAGGAGGGGAGGGGGCGTGACAAGCGGTAGCGAGATGGAGCTGAGTAGCTGGAGTAGTTGAGAAGAGTAGATGACAGATGAGAGATGAGTTGTTGGATGGAGTTGGAGAATGTTGTGGAAATGAGTGGGCGGCAAAAGCGTTGGGTGGCTGGCACCTGGCAGATTACGCGCTCGTGGGATGGTACGCAGGGTCCTGCCGCGGGGTGGAGCCGGAGCAGCTCATGCGGCACAGCGGGGGTGACGAGTGCGCGAGCGCAGTGTCGCGGAACTGTGCGAGGCGGTGGAGCGAACGCGAGCCGGGCCGACGACATGCATATGCTCGTGGGCGCCATCTCCTCGTTCTGCGGCTCGCTGACGTCGGGCGTGTCCGCCGACTCTCCCAATGACGTACATATCGGCGCAATTGACCTTTTGATCCCGTCGCCGAGCCGATCTGTAATGAGGAAGAAGACAAAATAGCCTCCGCCCTTATTCCGCGGTGGCACCATTCTGCTTCCGTGTCTGAATCCCACTTTCCCTCTTCTAATGTTGAATTTGCCGCCCAACTCTCCTCAATCCACCATCCACCCTTCACGACATGCTCCGCGCTACCTCGCGCGGCCTGCACACGACAGCGGCGCGCGCCGTGCGCCGCCCGCAGAAACCCTTTGAAACCTACATCCCGCGCGACCTGACCGGGCGCACCCAAATCGGCGTGCACAAACGCCAAGCCGCGCAACAGGACCAGCTGTACAAGCTCGCGCACGAAGGACGCGCCTCCAAGGCAGAGAAGTACGCCGAGACATACGGCCTGCGAGTGGGCGCGACGCACAAGTCGGCCAAGGCCGAGGACGCGGAGCGCGCGCAAGCCGACGAGCGGCCCGTACGCCCTCCCGACGCCGCCGAGGAGGACATGGCGACGCTGCGCCGCAAAGCGTACCAAACAAGCGACGTGCAGCTCGTGCTCGAAAAGTGGCGGAGGGGCGTGGACGTGCGCGGGGGCGCGTACGCCGTGCGCGCGAAAGAGCGGGAGGAGGAGGGCGAACGCGCGCGGCGGCTCGCGGAGCGCAAAGCCGCGCGGCGGGAGAAGAAGGAGACGTGGCGCGCCGCGAAGCGGCAGAGCACATACTCCAGCCTAGCGTTGTATCGCGCGCAGCACGCCGAGGGTGTGCGGCTCGCGAGATTGGGGTTCCCGGCTTTCCGGGCCAAGCAGATGGCCAAGAGCCGCTGGGTCGAGGAGGACGGGCGAGCTGTTATTCTGGCCGCGGATTTGCGGTACTTGGGCGGCGCGGAGGACTCTGCGATGCGCGAGCGCGTGTGGGCCGCGGAGAAGAGGGCGGGTCGCACGGCCGGCCCAGATCCTACGCCCGCACAATTGGGACAGGTGGCGGACGAGGCGGGAGAAGGGGAGGGGGAAGGAGAGGGGGAAGGAGAGGGGGAGAAACCCGCGAAGCGTGAGTTCTCTCGTGCGAGCTAGCGCGCTGACGGCAGGATGGGAGCCGACGAAGCGGCTGACATACGCTGCGATGGGCGGGATGCGGGAGTTGCACGCGCAAGACCCCGCGATGTGGACGCCACAGGCGCTCGGCCAGCGCTTCGGCATCTCGTACGAGGCAGTCAAGCGTATCCTGCGGTCCAAGTGGGCGGCGACGACCGACGACAAGGACGTGGGCAAGTGGTCCCGCGCGTCGGACGGCGTCAATAGTCCCGTGCCCCAGATCCGGGCGGTGTACGAGCTCAAGCGGGCTAACGAGGCCCAGGAGAAGGAGGCCAAGGAGAGCGGAGATGGGAAGGGCAAGGAGAAGGTCAAGCAAAAGGAGGTTGGGGAGACCGCTAAGAAAGCCGTTGGAAAGGGCTGGGGCAAGAGCGGCCAGGATCAAGTCGGTATTTCGAGGAGTACGAGGGGCGCACCACCTTTCCGTCAACGCGGCGGATTCGGGCTCCAGCAGTAGACATAACACGCACATCTCATCGCATCTTATCTCATCTCGTCTTATTTCATCATGCATAGATAGCATCTGTCAGGTGTCAGGGAGGGTCGTTGAGCAGCCGCACACTTCCCGGCCGACTTTCACCGCTCTCCAACTCCGATAACAACGTCCTCTCCAATTCAGACATCGTCCTCCCCACTCCACCCACTCAGACAAATTCCGAGATCCATTCTAACATTGCTCTGCTACAATCTATTACTACATCTATGCCCTAGATAGCGGGCGAAAGCCAGTCGAACTGAACCCATTTATCGATCTGGCTCGCCTCGCCAGCGGCGCCACGCGCCTCGGCCCAGATCCACAGCTTGGCCATGGCGAGGAGGTTGCCGGTATTGACGTGCGCCATCGCGTCCCGCGTGCCCATCTGCCGCCCAAGTTGGCGCAGGATCGGCAGCGCGCTCTTAAACAGGTCCATGTTGGGGTCGAGCTGCCGCCCAATACCTTCGAGCAGCAGAATGCTAATGACCGTGTTCACAAAGTCGCCCTCGAGCTTTACGTGGTGCTGCCGCACCGCCAGAAGCACATCGTTCAAGATGTCGCTGATCTTGATCTTGGCCAGGCTGAACGTCTTGCTCTTCACCGACAGCACGAGGTGCTGGATCTTGAGCGCGAATGTCTCCTCATCAATCGCCAAGTCTGGTCTTCGACACCGTTCTACCATGAGCTTGCCGGCGCGGTAGCCATCAAACTCGGCGACGGCCTGGAATAGGTCTAGAAAGTTGCGACGGTTCGTCGCGTCCAGACTTGTCACGAGTCCCGCGTCGATGAACACAAGCTGTGGGACCAGACCGGCGTCGTACAGCTCCTCGAGGCGCTCAAGCCACGCGTCCTGGTCACCTGAGAGCGCGCGAAGCTCGTGTACGATAGCAGTCTCCCGCTTGCTCTCGGTGGGAATACTAGGCTCGGGCGGGGGCTTATCCCCCTTGAGGCGGTGGATGAGTGGCCCGATGATGTGATATGTCTCGGGCCGCACCATGCGCACCAGAATATTGCCGGGGTGCAAATCACCGTGAGTCCAGTTGTCTAACAGGAGCATTTCCAAAAACGCGTCGAGGCCAAGGTTTGCAATCTTCTCGTCGAAAGGCCCGCCTCCATTCCGCAAGAAGTACTTGAGCGGAAGCGCATCCTCGTACTCCTCAACCAGCACCTCCTTGTTAGCCGCGACATGGTCAGGCCCCAACCGGATTGGGCGGGGGAACGATACGGTCCGTGGGCGGTGCGCAAAGTTGTGTCGGAAGCGATCCAGGTTGGCAGCCTCAACGCGCAGGTCCAGCTGCTGGTTCATCATGTCGCCGAACGCAGCCACTTCGTCCGGGAGCGAGAGCCACTCCATCTCAGGCAGTGCGTTGATGAGGTTGGCAAAGATGGACATGATGCGGATGTCGCGACGCACGAGCTTCTCTACTCTCGGGTGCAGAACCTTGATTGCGACGCTGGTCACGATTTGACGGTCTGGGTCGTCCTCCAGTTCCTTGGCCAGCGCAGCAGCCTCAGCACTGCTCTGTTTGAGGATCTCCGGCCGCAGTTGCGCGCGATACACCTGTGCAATGGCGCCACAGCCGATCGGCGTGTCCTCGAAGTGTTCGAAGATCGCCTCAAACGGCAGCCCAAAAGCACGCTGCAGCACCTTCTTCGTGTACCGGAAGGGGTGGGGGTTGTTGGAGCTGTGCAGCTTACTCATCTTCACACAGAGCGCGTCGGGGAACAGATCGGTGCGCGAGGCAGCCCATTGGCCGAGCTTGATGAATGAAGGGCCAGCGCGCTCCATCTGCTTGACGAGGAAGCCGTACCACCACACCGCGCCCCAGTTGTCCTCACCTGGAGCGATCGGCTTGCCGGGCTTACGGCGCGGCGGCGCACCGATGTACAGCATTGGCGCGGTGAGGATGACAGGGCCGAAGAGGAGTGCGAGGTGAATGAAGCGTACAAATGTTAAGAATGGCTCGAGGATGTACTCGCGCAGCATCTCGAGTACACCCACGGAAGGCTCGGATGGCGAGAGAGCCATGAAGGGGCCTTCTTGCTTCTCCTCTTTCTTCTCGTGGACGGGGATCAGGTCCTCGTGCGAGATCGGGCTCTCTGTCAAAGTCGGCTTCTTGAAGTAGACCACGACGGCGACGGTGAGGCCAGCGAGGATGACAAGTCCCTTGCCGCCGCCTGCCTCCGGATGGCCATTACCGGACAGAGTGCCGCCGCCGCTAGACTGTTGGCCGGAGCCATTATCGCCAGATACCATGGCGCCCATGCGCTGCCCGAGACGGGCAAGCGCGCCATTCTCGAGAGTCTGGAGGAAGGGCAGGCGGCGCGTCGCGGCACCCTTCTCCTCAAGTTCCTTGATCTCCTGCACGCGCTTCTGAAGTTCCTTCCACACGTTTTGTCTCAAAACGTCCCCGCGCACGCGATCAAGCTCGTGCTCAAGCTGGATGAGACCGCGCCGGCTGGGCATTGGCGCCTGCGCATTCATCTTGCCGAGCGTGTCGTTGAGCTGCCGCACGCTTTCGGCGTGGAACTTCTGGTGCATGGCCTCGAAAGCCTCATCTCGTCCCGGAATTTGGTCGTAGGTCGGGAGCATGTCGATCGGGTTGGAAGCGAGGATGGACCGCATCACGTGCTTGGTGTAGGTCTCGAGCAGGAGGGAGCGGAAGGCGGCCTGGGACGAGTTAAGCGTGTTCTGCAGCTCAATCCAGGGGGGAAGTGCGCCTTGTCTCTTGATGATCCGGTTCATGTACACTTCGCTGAGGCCCAACAGGGGGTTCATCTCGGATGGGTCCCGCTCAATCGGCTTGCCAGTTCCCTTGAGGTTCTTGAAGAAGCCCTTGGACTGGGCGGTCTGGAGTCAGCGCCGAGCAGCGGGATGTCGACACCTAAGTACTCACCGCAATGCGGTCCTCCACAAGTCCAGCCCAAGCCCGCATACCACTCGCGCTCCCGCGCTGAGCACCGAGGACACTCTCGCCGCGAATCTGGCGGTTGCCACTGAAGCCCTCCATCTCCTCCTCCTCCGCGCCGACGTGAGTCACGGCTCCGTCGGAAATGCCGAGGCGGTAGTCGATGGCACCCTCGCGCGCACTGCCCAATCGGCCCTGGAGTTTGGTGGCGCGCCGGAAGTCGCGGTGTGCTTTCCGCACGGTACCGTCGGCATTCGGCGGCAGCCGCAGCTCGAGAAGGTTGCTAAAGTCGGCGCTGGCTGCGCGCTGGTCAAACTGACCCCACTTGACCTTGGGGCTCTCCATAACTTCATTGTCACCGGTATAAGTCGCATGCCACGGTTTGAAAAGGTGGGGAGGCAGCTTGGGCCTGTGTGGACTTTCCTCCGACGAGGAGGAGATGATGGGCGTGGCGGTGGACGTCGTTGCGCTCGGCGGCGCCATCTCAAGGTTCCTCATCCAGTTGTGAATACGCTTCTCCGCCGCATTGTCCTTGATCCCCTCGCCGGTCCGAAGCGGCTTGTACTTGTCGACGAGCATGCGGAGGACGGCGTCGCTCTGGGCCTCGTCGCCAGTCCAGATAGGCCCCTGGGCGTTCACTAGATGCGCACGGGCGTTCTTCTCAGCTGCAGTGGCCTCGACACGCTCCTCGGCGAGGGCATCTGCAAACAGCTTGGCCGAGCCGGTGAGTGAGTCGCCGCCGCCTAGTGGCTCGTCGCCCGCAAGTGGCGCTTTGGAAGGGGCCGGGTCTGGCGCCCCCGGCACTTTGGTGTGCACGGCCCGCTGCAGCGCCTGCCACTGTGCGCGGAGGGGGCGTCCCCGCAGTGGCATCATGATGGGTAGTTGGCTGCGAGAGGGTAATGGCACGAGTGAGTGACAGATGAAGAGAGTGAGTCACGGGGGGAAGGAAGAGATGAGCGAGACGCGGCCATCTGACATTGACGCCAGAGTCAGCGTCCGCGTTCGAGTGGAGAGATCGACGTCATTCGCACGTGGCTTCTCTTCCCGCCCGCCCCGGCCTGCCCCTCCCGATAATCAATTCCACGTCAGAACTCAAATTTTGATCCCGTTTCTGAATTGTTGTGAGAATCCGCGGTCGCCTCTCTGCCAGGGCGGAACGCGACTGCCCCCCTCCCCCCTCCCCCCTCCCCCTCCCCGCCGCCGCTATAATTTTCTCTTTCGCGCCATTCTTCCTCTTGGGAAAGCATCATTGAGACAGCCATCAGCCGTCAGATCCTCTCCCGACCCCTTCTAGTCCGACGCTGTCCTCTACACCTATCCCAAAAATGGCTGCTAACGGCTCCTCTGCCCCCGTCGTCCCCCCTCGCGGTGAGGTCCTCGCCGCCGCCGACGCCATCAAGTTCCTCGAGCAGTACCCTCGCGGCGACGGCCTCTCGCTCAGCGAGCTCATGGACTCGCAGGTCCACGGCGGTCTTACCTACAATGACTTCCTCATGCTCCCCGGCCACATCGACTTCCCCGTAAGCCCCGCCGCCGTCGCCGGCTAGCAAGTGGCAAACATGTGGCTGACAAAGCAGGCTTCCGAGGTCTCGCTCCAGACGCGTGTGACTCGCAACATTGTCCTGAACGCGCCGTTCCTCTCCTCGCCCATGGACACGGTTACCGAGGACCGGTGGGTAGTCGCCGCCCGCTGATGTACGGATGCACGGACTGACGCGCAGCATGGCGATTGCTCTCGCGTGCCACGGCGGCCTGGGTATCATCCACCACAACTGCTCTGCCGAGGAGCAGGCCGCCATGGTCCGCAAGGTCAAGAAGTACGAGAACGGCTTCATCACCGACCCCATCTGCCTGGGCCCCAACGGTGTGGTCGGCGACGTCCTTGAGATCAAGAACAAGTTTGGCTTTTGCGGTGTGCCCATCACCGACTCGGGCAAGATTGGCGGCAAGCTCCTTGGCATTGTCACCGGCCGTGATGTCCAGTTCCGTGACGAGAAGACCCCTCTTAAGGAGGTTATGACCCCCCTTAAGGACGTCGTTACCGGCAACGCCGATATTACCCTCGAGCAGGCCAACACTATCCTCCGCGACTCGAAGAAGGGCAAGCTCCCCATCATCGACGACTCGGGTCTTCTTGTTGCCCTTGTCGCTCGCTCCGACCTGCTCAAGAACCAGAACTACCCCCTTGCATCCAAGGTCCCCTCCAGCAAGCAGCTTTACTGCGGTGCCGCTATCGGCACCCGCCCTGGCGACCGTGACCGCCTCAAGCTTCTCGTTGAGGCTGGCCTTGACGTCGTTGTCCTCGACTCGTCGCAGGGCAACTCGGTGTACCAGATCGAGTTCATCCAGTGGATCAAGAAGACGTTCCCCAAGCTCGAAGTCATTGCCGGCAACGTCGTGACTCGCGAGCAGGCCGCTCAGCTCATCGTCGCTGGCGCTGACGGTCTCCGTATCGGCATGGGCTCTGGCTCGATCTGTATTACTCAGGAGGTTATGGCCGTCGGCCGCCCCCAGGGCACGGCCGTGCACGCCGTTTCCGAGTTCGCTTCTCGCTTCGGCGTCCCCACCATCGCCGACGGCGGTATCGGCAACATCGGCCACATCGCCAAGGCGCTCTCGCTCGGCGCCTCCGCCGTCATGATGGGTGGCATGCTCGCCGGCACCACCGAGTCGCCCGGCGAGTACTTCTACCACGAGGGTAAGCGCGTCAAGGTGTATCGCGGCATGGGGTCGATCGAGGCGATGGAGCACACCCAGACGGCCGGCAAGGGCGGCAAGGCGGGCCTCGCCGCCAACAACGCCGCGACGGCCCGCTACTTCTCCGAGGCCGACACGGTCAAGGTCGCGCAGGGCGTCTCGGGCGACGTCCAGGACAAGGGCTCGGTCAACAAGTTCGTGCCCTACCTCTACACCGGGCTGCAGCACTCGCTGCAGGACTCGGGCGTGCGCTCGATCACCGACCTCCAGGAGGGCTGCCGCTCGGGCAAGGTGCGCTTTGAGCTGCGCACGGCCAGCGCCCAGCTCGAGGGCGGCGTCCACGGCCTCAACTCGTACACCAAGCGTCTCTTTGCCTAGACGTGGCCCGTGTCGCGTAATTATTTAGATCTGTTGGGCATGATGTACTTTTATGCATAGGTATGGTACAACTGGGAAATGCAGCGGCGGATGGCAGGACGCGGCGAGACGAGTGGGGGCGTGGCAAGGTGGGAGTATGAGCAACAATGGGAGAGAGCAAGTCATGTGCGCTGGCGCTTCTTTGGCGGTTCCTCTGCGCCCGCCCCGGCGTCGTCTGGATGTCCCAGGTCCACCATCCGTTCCTCGATCATGCGGCGCACCAGCGCCTCAGCGTCGTCGGGCCCAAACTTGGGTCCCTTGCCCTGCGCCGGCTGCGGCTGCCCCGGTCTTGTGGGGGACGGCTCAAACGCCTCCCAGATAGGATAGAGGCAGATGATGTCCTGGACACAGGCGAACAGCGTGGGCAGCGAGACCTGGAACGAGGCGAGGAACTCGGCCGCCCCGCTCGGTGGGGGCGGCAGCCCGAGAGCTGCGTTGCTCTCGATCGCCTGCGTGATCGTGCCGACCTGCGTCGACGAGCGCGTGCTCCGCGCGCTCGTCCCCGACGCCGAGGTGAGCGTGAAGGCGATGTAGAGGGCCGCGAGCGCGACGACGTAGGGCGGGTACAGGAGCGGCACGTCGGTGCGGAACGAGTCGTTGATCACGAACCTGGGGTCAGAGACAGCCTCGCGAGCCAGTGTTGCCAAACTCACCAGGCTATCTGCAGCGCGCCTTCTTCCACCTCCATCAGCCCTTCGCCGCTCCCGCGCCCCATGAGCCGGCGGATGCGCTCCGCCTCCCCCTCTCCACCCTCGTCTTCGACGGGAAGCCGTGCGGCCGACCCCGCAGCACCCTTGGCCTTGGCTTCGTCGTTTCGTTTCCTCGCTTCTTCGGCGTCTTTCCGGCGCACCTCTGCGTCCTCCTCCGCCCGTGTCTTGGGGAATCGGCCCGCGTCCGCCGGCTCGCGCCCACAGATGTTCACCAGGGCGCGGTACGGGTGGAAGACAACGAGACAGAAGCAGATATCTTCCAAGAGGTAGAATCTGGGTCAGCGCGATCGCGGGGGCACCCACTCCATCTCGCCAAGCTTGCTCGGCTCGGCGGGGAACATCTTGATGTTGTGCTCGCCGAACACGACCTTGGCCTCTGCAACCACGCTCTTGATGTGTACCGGAGTCTCCTCGACTTTGGCGGCGACGAAGACGCACGCCGCGAGCACGAGATACGGGTTCGTCTCGCAGATCGAGTTGCGCGCGTAGAAGCGGCGGAAGTAGACGATGGCGGTCGCGATGGGCGTCTGGCGCAGGAGCAGGCGCTTGCCGAGCTTCTGGATGAGCGAGGCGAAGAAGATGTTGAGGCAGTAGAGCTGGTGCGGTGTCGCGTAACGCTGGTCCGTCTCGCGCGCGGCGTGCAGTTCCGAGCGCGTGAGGAGCCAGTATTTGGCGTGGGTGGAGGTGTAGAAGTTAGAGGACATGGCGGACGGGGCGATCGTGAGACAAGAAGCAAAAGGATGGGGGTCGAGGACGACTCGCGGGACCCTCCCTGCCGAGGCGAGTGGATGATGTGTTGACGATGGAGATGCGCTCGTCGCTGCTGTCTCGCTCGTCTCGCTCGATGTCCGTCCCGGACTCGTGTGGCCGGCCCAGCTGACCCTCCACCGGCGGCCACATGGCACCCGTCACGTGACTCTGAATGTCCACGTTTCGAAACGCGCTCTCGCGTCGCTGCGCCTGCAGCCACGACCGACTTCGACAACATTCTTCTCTCCCATCTTCCCATCTCCCTCGGCCTGCACAACACGCAGCATCGAGCAAAACTAGCCCACGACATCGCACCCCGCATATCCGCATCATGAACGTCTTTGCGGACGAGGTGCGTGCCCTGCGCCAGCCGTCGCCTACATCGGCATGGCGGACGGCTCTCGGTGGCACGGAACAAAGTGTTGACACCAGGCTACTGAGGAACGCGGCGAGAACGCGCGTCTCTCGTCCTTCGTTGGCGCCATGGCGCTCGGCGACCTTGTCAAGTCGACGCTTGGGCCCAAGGTGCGCTTCCTCTCCAGCGCCGTATACGCCGCCCTGCAGGACGACGCGCGCGCGCGAGCTAGACTGACTTCCAGGGCATGAACAAGATTCTCCAGTCGACGCACGACGGGAGCATCACGGTGACGAACGACGGTGCGACCATTCTCAAGGCGATCACGCTCGACAACCCCGCCGCCAAGATCCTCGTCAACATCTCCAAGGTGCAGGATGACGAGGTCGGCGACGGAACGACCAGCGTGTGTGTCCTCGCGTCCGAGCTGCTGCGCGAGGCTGAGAAGCTCGTTACGGTCTCCAAGATCCACCCCCAGACCGTGGTTGAGGGATACCGTATTGCCTCGCGCGCCGCGCTCGACGCGCTCGCCAAGAGCGCCGTCGACAACAAGGACGATGCGATGCAGTTCCGCGAGGACCTGTTCAACATTGCCCGCACTACGCTCTCGTCCAAGGTTCTCAGCCAGGACAAGGACTACTTTGCCAACCTGGCCGTCGACGCCGTGCTCCGCCTCAAGGGCAGCATTGACCTTGAGCACATCCAGATCATCAAGAAGGTTGGCGGCAAGCTCACTGACTCGTACCTCGACGAGGGCTTCATCCTCGACAAGCAGATCGCTGTCAACTCGCCAAAGCGGATAGAGAACGCTAAGATTCTGATCGCCAACACTTGTAAGCTACCAGTAGGCCTTCCTTGCTCACACCAGCCATGGACACGGACAAGATCAAGATCTTCGGCGCACGTGTGCGCGTCGATGGTACCGGCAAGCTCGCCGAGCTCGAGCGTGCCGAGCGCGACAAGATGAAGGCCAAGGTGCAGTCCATTGCGGCACACGGCATTACTTGCTTCGTCAACCGCCAGCTCATCTACAACTACCCCGAGTCGCTGCTTGCCGAGCAGGGGATTATGTCGATTGAGCACGCCGACTTTGAGGGCGTTGAGCGCCTCGCACTCGTCACTGGCGGTGAGATTGCGTCCACGTTTGACGCCCCGGACAAGGTCAAGATTGGCCGCTGCGACGTCATCGAGGAGATTATGATTGGCGAGGACAAGGTAGGGGAGATTGGAGAAAGCTGAGCTGACGGTCAGCTTATCAAGTTCTCGGGCGTGGCGGCCGGCGAGGCGTGCACGGTTGTGCTGCGCGGCGCAACGAGTCAGATGGTGGACGAGGCTGAGCGGTCGCTGCACGATGCGCTTTCGGTGCTCTCGCAGACGGTCAAGGAGACGCGTGTGACTCTCGGCGGCGGATGCGCCGAGATGCTGATGTCGTGCGCGGTTGACGAGGCGGCACGCACGGTCAGCGGCAAGCGTGCGCTCGCTGTGGAGGGCTTTGCGCGCGCTCTGCGCCAGATGCCGACCATCCTCGCGGACAACGGCGGGTATGACTCGTCGGACCTTGTCGCCAAGCTGCGTGCGGCGCACTACGAGGGCCGCAGCGACGCGGGTCTCGACATGGACAAGGGCGCGATTGCAAGCATGAAGGAGCTTGGCGTTACCGAGAGCTACAAGCTCAAGCGCCAGGTCGTTGTCAGCGCGAGCGAGGCGAGCGAGATGATCCTGCGTGTCGACAACATCTTGAGGGCGGCCCCTCGGCGGCGCGAGGCGCACTAGTCGCGCGTAGTCTCGGTTTGCGTAGTGGTAGATTGCATGCATGTAGATCTGGCTGAGCGCGATGCTGCCTGTTCTCGATGACCGCTCAGAAGGCGGAGTTATGTAACAACTCGCACGCGCGTGGATTTTCAGGGACGGGATCGACGTTTCGTGGGCACCGAATTCTGGGGGCGGCACAAATGATCCGGGCCAGCTTCAGGCAACAATCGTGTTCCGCGCTCTCTCTTGTTCCATCGCTCATCACAATGGCGAACGGTACAGCTCCGGCACTGGCGACACCCAAGGCCAACGGCGTCCCGAAGGGAGCGGCATCAGCAACGAAGCGCGTCCTCCCGACGTGGACGCGCGCCGACATCGCCCAGCGCATCTGCGCAGGCGCACAGCTCGTGCTGCGCGGCGACACGGTGCTGAACGTATCCTCGTGGGCGGCGTACCACCCCGGCGGGGCGCTGGCGCTCGCGCACTTCGTGGGCCGCGACGCGGTAGACGAGATCGCGGCCTACCACTCGCACGGCACGCTGGCGGGTATGGGACGGTACGCGGTTGCGCGCGTCCATGCCGCCGACTACACGGCGGAGGCGGGGTGGGCGCCGCTCACGCCGCCGATTGCGCTCGGCCTCGTCCCGCACCCCGACGGGACGCGCGGCCACTGGGCGCGCGAAGGCCAGATCCGGCTCGCGATGGAGGTGCTGGACGGCGTGGGCGCGGAGGGCATTCGCGAAGTCAATGCGCGCCCGATGGGCCTCGAGGTCGTCCGGCTTACGCCGCAGATGATGGAGCCGGTGCCGGTGCCGCAGGTCGACCGCGTGCGGGAGCACGCGCGCTCGAAGGCGTACCAGCGCCTCAAGGCGCGGTTGGAGGACGCGGGATACTTTAAGCGTCCTGGCGCGCTCAGCGGGTACAGCAGCGACATTGCGCGCTACCTCCTCCTTGCGGCTGCGTCGGCGTATCTCTTCATGCATGCTGGAGGGTGGGCGGCGATGATGGGGAGTGCGGCGCTCCTCGGCTTCTTCTGGCAGCAGTTGACTTGTGAGTTGTCTGGAGGAAGGGAGCTGACAACAGTCTTGGCTCACGACGCCGGCCACTCGGGCATCACGGGCGACTGGTGGTGGGACCGCGTGACGTGCATGCTTGTTGCGGACTGGATTGGCGGGCTGAGCGCCGGGTGGTGGTGCAACAACCACGACATCCACCACCTCGTGACCAACCATCCCGAGCACGACCCGGATATCCAGCACATGCCCTTCTTCGCGATCACTCCCCAGTTCTTCCGCAATCTCTGGAGCACATACTACAAGCGTGTGGTGGCGTTCGACGCGCCCGCCCGCTTCCTCCTCGCCTTCCAACACCGGGTGTACTACCTCGTGCTCTCGCTCGCGCGCTTCAACCTGTACGCGCTGAGCTACGGCTTCCTCGCGACCAAGGCGCCGCGCGACGCCTTCTTCGCGTTCGAGGTCGCCGGCCTCGTCTTCTACTGGACATGGTACGGCGCGCTGCTGCGCGCCGTCGCGGCCTTCGGCGGCGCCCGCATGGCCCTCGCCTACGTCGCCGTGTCGCACATCTGCGCGTCGCCCGTACACGTCCAGATCGTGCTGAGCCACTTCGCGTGTAGCACCGAAGACTTGGGGCCAAGCGAGTCGTTCGTGTCCCGCCAGCTCCGGACGACCATGGACGTCGTGTGCGGCGAAAACATCGAGTGGATCCACGGCGGCCTGCACCAGCAGGTCACGCACCACCTCTTCCCCCGCCTCCCGCGGCACCACCAGCGCAAGGCGAGTCTGGTGGTCAAGGAGTTTTGCGAGGAGCAGGGGCTTACGTTTATCGAGTACGGCTGGATCCGCGGGAACGCCATGGTCCTCGATACGCTGCGCGACGTCGCGAACCAGCTGGCCATCCTCAAGCGCGTCGCGGATAAGGAGGTCGCGGAGAAGATGCAGTAGTCGGAGACGGGAGAGGCCAGAGGGGGAGGAATCTCGTGGCCATCTTGCAGCAGCACTGATAGACCACTTAGATATGTGTAGACGGAATGTATTCTTGTTTGTGTTCCCTGCAGCTCGAATCAAGTCTATGTCTCACCAGATTAGGATGCATACATTATTGACTGTCCGTCCGATGCGCTGATGCAGTTAGATTTTGGCCAAGAGCTTGGGACATGTGCGGAAGCGTGCTGCTGTCAGTCGTGAGCACAAGCACAACCCACCCCAGCAACAGATGAGCCCGCCGAGGATCTGGATCGAGCCCATACAGATGATCATCCACTTCCACGTCGTGCGTCCCGAGACGTCGAAGAGCGCGCCACCGAGCGGCCCAGCAATGAGGTTTCCGGGGCCGTTGAACAGCAGCAATATACCCGTGTTGGACGCGAGCGAGTTCGGGCCGAAGATGGTGACGACGATCTGGGGCATGAGGCCGAGATACCCCGGCGCAATGAGGCCGTAGAGGCACGCAAAGACGCACGCGAGCGCAAAGCTCGAGACGTTGAGCCAGAGCGCGAACTGGATGATGCCCGAGACGACGAAGACGCCGATGTACGTGTTCATGGCGCCGATGGCGTCGCTGCAGAAGCCGACGAGGCCGCGGCCGACGGCGACGGAGAACGCGAGGATCGTCAGCGGCACCGTGAGCTTCATCGGGTCGGTGATGGACGGGAACGTCGTGGCCATGTACTGGTTCATGAAGAAGTAGGGGGCGGGGTAGCCGATGACGCCGATGAGGAGGGAGATGGCGACGCTCCAGAACTCGGAGTGCGCGAAGATCGCCGTGTTGATCAGCTTGCCCCGCTGCCGCTGTGCTTCGGGCGAGCCGGGGCGCGTACGGATCAGGGAGACGGCAATGACCATGGCTGCGAGGTTGACGAAGGACATGATGCTGGTGTTAGAGCGCCAGGCCTCTGGGAGATACGTACAGGAGCGTTTTGCTTGCGCCGACCTGCGTGATGAGGCGCCGTACAATGATGACGGACAAGCCGCCGCCGATGCCGGCGCCGCCCATCGTGATGCCCGACGCAAGGCCACGATACTTGTAGAACCACTGGGACGGGAGGGAGAGGAAGAGGGGGACGGCGAGGCCTGTGTGTAAGCGATCCGCGGTCGTGGCAGTGCCACTTAATCAATGGTAGGAAACCTCGCTGGGCTCGCCTGCAGCTCGCTGAGCTCGGCGCACTCACCCTGCCCAATCCCCGTAATCACGCCCTGGCACAATATCGTGCTCCACAACGAAGTGCTCCAGCTCGCGCCGAACAGCCCGATCCAGCACACGACACAGCTGGCAATCAGCATGGGCCGGAAGCCAAACTTGTCGCCGAGGACGCCGCTGAAAAACGCGCAGACGGAATACATGAATCCCTGCGTGGTGCCCGCGAGCGAGAGCACGGCCGTGGGCGCGCCCGGAAACGTGTTCTTTGCATAGTACTGCATCAGCGCGGCCACGGCTCACGGCGCACGCACCTCCTGGAATACGCCGTAGCTCATGCCCCACCCGTTCGTGAGCGCGCACAGCGTCATGCAGCAGCCCACGACGACCCAGCCGTACCCGCCGTCGGGGTAGATGTATGGCTCTGTGGGCTCGGGGGTGTCTTTTTCGGGGTCGCGCGCGCTGGCGTCGCCGACGGAGGCGCTGCGCCTGCGCGCCACGCTGTGCTCGTCGTCGTCGAAGACCGGCTCGATGGCGGGGCGGGAGAGCGCGAAGGGTGTCGGCTTATGGCCTGTGGCGCTGCGCGAGCGCTCGCGCGCCAGCTCGCGCTGCGAATGGGCCGTCGCGATGCGCACGAGCGGCCCGCCGCCGCCCACGGCTGCTGGGTCGAAGACGGAGACGACGTCGGCGGTGGACGGCGGCGCGGGGGAGGGTGTGCGCTGTGCGGGGACCGGGGCGGGGGCGAGCGTGGGGCGGGTGTAGAGCGTTGTTGTTGATGAGAGGTCGGTGGGGGTGCGTGTTAAAGCGGGGGTGGGGGCTGGGGGAGGGGCTGGGGAGGGAGAGATGATGGAAGGGGCTGGGCCGTCTTCCGGGATGGAAGGGGGGAGGGAGGTGGCTGAGGGGAAAAGTTGGGGTTGGGATGGAGGCGAAGAGACGTCTGCGTCGGTTGCAGGTGGTTCTGGCGCTGGCGTAGGCGAGGCTATCCTCTGCGGCGAAGGGGGAGTCGTTGGTGCGTCGGACATGGTGTCGGCGGTGGGGGATGTCGGTTGAGGAGCGGCCATATTAGCTCAACACCTTTGATCAAATGCTCGCCACAGCGCAAACGTCAGATACAGGATGAGTAAGTGCACAAGATGCAGATGCAAACCTGCTCAACTGGCTACAGCGTTGGGAGTGTGAAACGCGAGATTACAGCTCTGACTCGTCTCTCGCATATGCCCGAAGCGCACATTGCCAGGGACGGGCCGCGGTTTGCCGGCAACATTTTGGGCTGTTACACCGCTCGTGTGAGTCGGCGTGAGGCGCGTCAATGCTTCAGATAGACTGCTGGGTGGCAGGTTTATGCCTGGCCTGCAGCCGCCCACTGTGACACTCCGCCGCCCGACCGCTTGAACGCAATCGCACCGCGCGGAGTCGCCGTCTCGCACCGTTGCAGACGCGGCTTTTTCCACGGCATCGCAGCTCGCAGATGGGCACTCGTCCGGAAATGTGGCCCGATCGGTCAATTCCGGCTGGGTGAGCTGCGTCAGGTTGTCAGGTTGAGTGTGGGCTCGGGAGAGTTCTAGGCGTCATGGGAGTATGACGGCGAGGCTGGGCAGAGCTAAACTCGAGGCAGAAAATCAAGGCGAGTCAGAATACCGATGGCTACGCCCAGATTCCGCGCGACATCCGCGCGACATCCACGGCTGGTCTTATCTTGCGCTGCACGCTGATGAGCGTTGTTGCGTCTGGCAGCGTCCTATTTGATAGCACACAAAGCGCGAGATATTTGTCGGCATTCCTCGACGGAAGGTGATAGGAGGGTACAGGCGGTGTTGAGGAGCGAGAGGGACTACTGTAGACTTTCGTAGCGCCAGGACGTTTCGCGCACGCAGCACCCAGGTTCCAGCGGCTCAAAGAGACCTATGCTGAGCAGATTGCGCAGAGCATCGAGGTCTGGGCGGCGGGAGTGAGATTCCCGGATCCGATCACGCATGGGCTAGTTCAAGGAGAGCTGCTTGATCGTTTCGTGAGATCCGACGGATTGCACGGATAGCTCGGGTTCATCTGCAAGACGTGGCTTGTGCTCTGACGAGCAGACGAGCACGAGAGTGATTCAAGCAAGGCGGTTGTCTGCATCCTGTGAGAGCGAGCGCGGAGCGAGAGCTTATGCGCTCTCAGAGAGAGTACTCGAGTGCACTCATACTGAGGTAATGGCGACTCTCCTACCAGCACCAGCAGGCTCTGCCAGTAACTCTCACACGGTGAAGCCCACGTCGTGCCGTCTTGCAGTGTGCACAATTGAAGGGCAGCGACAACGGCTAACTCGGGAGCAATGACGGGTGCCATTTATTAGCTCGCGTGCTCGCCATGTTCGTGTTCGCATTCCTCTGCCTTCTGGTCCACTCGTTGCAACATTTGCATTCCACCAGCTCCAGCTGGCAGCGGCATTCCGAAGCCGCCGAACATTGCTCGCACGAAACGCCGCTTGTTGCGTCCACGCGCCACGCGTCTGCGACTGCTCGGCGCTGCTCAGCTTGTTCAGGTGCCTTGAATTGAATTCATGCCGCCCACTCGACGAAACTGCCGGATGTAGAGCACCCCAAAAAACTCTCCGCGAATGGGACTAGCCCTGTGGCTGGGGCCAGAATCTTCTGCATCCCGGACATGCGGCATGTTGAGGAGGAGCTCGTCTGAGTAAGTAGCGACACGCGAGAGAGTGAGGAGAGGCGAGTTTTTGAGAGTTTTTGAGAATAATGTCGAGTTTTGATGGATTTGGAGGGAGGATCGACGAGGCACAAAGGTGTCCGCCAAGAACATTCTCTGACGGCACAAACACGTCCATTGGATTGCTATCACTACTCTGCCCGACGCACGCTGTCTCAGTCTCAGTGCAGTCGACATCGACAATCTCACCGCATGCTGTACTCAATTGCATTGCATGCAAAGATGTTTTCGGGGCAAAGTGGGGTCGGACCCCGTTCTGATGGATGTGCCTGGACCGCCGCCCCCGGCCCATTGTACTCCTGATACACCCTGGAAAGGCCTGAGCCGACCGACCGGATCCCCCGGATCAGCGCGACGCTCCCTGGCCAGGCACCCGCGCTGTGCAGCAGACGATCCAAGGATTGACGCGCAACAAGGTTAAGGATAACAGGGACTCCCTTCTTACCCTGATGCCTACCGCGCGCAAACACGCAAAGGCACAGACGACCCTCCAAAGGACCCCCCTCCTCCTCTTTCTCCTCTCTCTCTCTCCTCATCATCATCATCATCATCATCGACACCCCCAAACTCTTCATCCCAGCAGCCATCAGCCACTCGAGGCTCCTCGGCTACTTCCTCTCTCTCTCTTTGACATCCTCGTCATTCTTTATCTCCCACTCTCTCTCTCTCTCTCTCTTTACCTAGTCACCTCGACGCTCGCCCCTCCTCCCATCCTCTCGCACGCTCTCTCGCACGCTCTCTCGAGACCCGTCACTGCGACTAGCACAGACCTTGCTCTTTCTCTCTCCCTGCTCTTCTCTCCTTGCTCTCGCTACCTCGTCGTCCTCTGTAACTACAGGGGCTCATCTATCACCTTGTAAGTCCCACTCCTCTCTCTCTCTCTCTCTCTCTCTCTCTCTATCGCTCTCCTCATCCCTCCTTACCTCCAACTCCCGCTCACTCCTTAGCTCTCCCTCTCCCTCTCTCTCTCTTTCTTTACTCGAAAAACAACAACAGCATGCTCGCCCTCCTCGTTCTCCTCGTCTCGCTCTTCGCCCTCGTTGCCGCCGCCCCGATCCCTCACGCCAAGCGCTTTGAGGGCAAGGCCACGTACTACGTCGCCGGTCTCGGCGCTTGCGGCAACTACAACACTGGCGCCGACATGATCGTTGCCCTCAACCAAGCCCAGTGGGACGGCGGTGCCCACTGTGGCAAGAGCATTACCATCACCGAGGGCGGCAAGACGGCGCAAGCGACTATCGTCGACCTCTGCCCCGGATGCCCCTACGGCGCCCTCGACCTTTCCGAGAGCCTCTTCTCCGTCTTCCACGACCATGGCAAGGGTGTGTTCCAGCTGAGCTGGAACTTTAACGACGGTTCGGGCGGCGGTGGCGGTGGCAACGGTGGCCAGCAGCAGCAGCAGCCCTCTGAGACGCCTGCTCCCGCTCCCAACTCGCCCTCGCCGCAGCCTCAGCCCCAGCCGACCCCAACCCCGACCCCGACGCCTTCGCCCGAAGCCCAGACGCCGTCGAGCTCGCAAAGCACCCCCTCGTCATCGAGCATTTCTTCGGGCTCGTCCTCGTCCTCGGCTCCCGTCAGCTCGAGCTCGGTCCTCTCCCTTTCCAACTCGACGATTACGTCGTCCACCCTTTCGTCCAACTCGACTTGGAGCACTTCTTCTCTCCCCGCATCCGCCAGCGCGACCAACGACGCCATCCTCGCCGACTCGCCGAGCCCAGACGGCGCCCTCGCCGACCTCGGCGAGCTTGTCGCCTCCCTCGGCCGCATCGTCGTCGTCGGCGCCACGGCGTAACCGTCTCTCATCTACGTCCTGGGCGCAGGACGGCGTTGTACTACCACTCCACTCCCGGACACTGGCGCATGGGTCCCGGCACAGGTGCCGGTTCATACCTGTATCGACTATGGGTTTATAATGCCGCAGCGCGGCGTACATCTGGTCAGCGGCTAGTCCGCGACCGTGCCCTGTGGGCGATGTTACCTTTTTTTTCTTTTATGGGGCGTGGGTGTGGGTGTGGGTGTGGGTGCATGCTGGGTCGAGGTGGGTCGTGGAGGCTGATTCTGAGGGTAGCCGAGTTCCCGGAGGGGCGCGAGCGGCGGCGGAGCGCGAGCGGAGAGAAGCGGAGGATCGGCATCGAGCAGCAATCAGTGAAGTGGGTGAGCGGCAAATTGTGATGGTCCGATATGCCTGTTTGATCGTGAATGGAGCGAGGCCGAGGGGAGCGTGTCAGTGGCACTCTGCTGGAGGCAGCGGGCCGTCAACTTGGGATGTGATGCCCTGCTGCCGCATTGGCATGTTAGAGGCCCCGCTGATCCGCCGAGTCCAGCTTGAGATGTGTGGGACTTGTGTTGAAAGCTCACGTCCCACTCTTCATCCGAGAAGCATGCTACTGTGTACCGATGGCTCTTACACCTTTCTGTCACCCCCAAATTCCAAGATGATATAGTGATACATGTAAGCGATGCGAACCCAAGATGCCATGTCGATATGTCTAAAAGCTATGTGTCTGTCGCAGAGACGGCGCGATCCCCCCGCCCCCCATTCCCACCATACTCGACCCGCTCCTCGCGCTCCAAGAGCGACTCGTCGTCCGACTTGCCGTCGTGCGGCTGCGCCGTGAGCGTGACCGTGCGTGGATACGAGTCGGATCGGTCCAGCGCGCGCGCCATCGACTCGACCTCCGGGCTCCCACTATCCTCTACGCCTGCCGAGTTCTCCGCGTCCGCGAGCGCCGCCTCTCTCGCGCGCCGCCTCTTCGCGAGCGGATTCAACACGCACGCAAGCAGCACCACCACGCCGTCGAGCACAACCACAAGAAAGTACTGCACGAACGCGGTGCTGTCAAAGTGCGCCCGGAAGAAGAGGGACACGCCCGAAAACACGCCCCCGCCAATATCCACGAGCATGAACGCGATCGAGATGCCCAACACCTCGCGGTGGCGCCAGATCTCCCAGTACTGCGGGAGCAGGCCGAGCACGAGCAGCGCGCTCGTGATCCACCCATACATCTGCATGGGCCAGGTGATGCCGCGGCGCTCGCCGGCCCAGAGCGCGTACACGGAGCCGACTTCGAAGCCGACGAAGACGGCGTAAAATGTGCCGACGCACGCGAGCGTGCGGCGCAGAGTGTACTTTTTGCCGTAGTACAAGCACTGGCCCCAGGAGACCACGCCGAGGCCGCCGAACGCTTGCGGCTGGATCTGCAGCGGGATCGAGGAGCGCATCGAGACGAGGTACGAGCCTTGGAAGATGGTTGCGCATGCCCAGATGCTGGCGTGAGCGGCTGAGCGGGGCTTGGGCGAGGGCCACGGGCTATGAGCAAGAGGGCGAGAGCGCAAGGCTTGGCACGCGAGCGCTCATCTCACCACCAGTGACTACCCCCCGTCCACTCACAACATGAGCGCGGGGCTCAGCCCCTCGGTGCTCTTCGTGCGGTAGCTCTTGACGATCTGCGGGATGACCTGGATCGACCAGAGCACTGCGCCGATCGTGGCGAGCGTCTTGTCGGCAGCCGGGATCTCTTTCATGCGTCGGCGGTGGTTGGGAGGTGGGGTGGGGCGGGGCCGAGTGATGATGCGAAGAGGAGTGACGGAGATGGCCAGCTCCTGTACTTGGCAGACGGTTTTAGCGATTAGCGGAATTTGCCATGTGCCCGTGGTGGATACGCGCTTGATATCGGGCTCATCCCTCCTTCTCCGCTCCAAAAGGGCTTATCTTTAGCACGCCGAGTGGCAACTGTTCATTGGATGCGGCGGAGTTCAGACAGCTCTCCGACCCTAACGGTTGCAACGTGGTCTTCACGCGACCTCTCCAAATTACGTGGCTATCTGCCTGATACCGCAGACATGACGCTCCTCAGGAGGAGAGGGCCGCAGTGCACCACCAAACAATTATCATCTCCATATCACCTCCATATCCATTGTTCCGTTCCACATCTCAGCCCTGCTGATGGATAGCCTGTGCATAAGCCTGACAGACACCAGCTGCACACCCACTCTCCCCCTCCTTTACTCGACACACGCTGCACCCACCACCTGCTATGACTGAGCCAGAGCCGGCGCCAGCCGCTGATCTGACGCCCACAGGTGCGGGCTATGACCCCTCGCTGCCCGCCGACGCCGCCGAGGCTGCCGAAGCGGCCGAGACGTATGACCCCTCGATGCCCGCCGATGGCGAGTACGTGCCCGCCGATGACGCAGAGACACACGACGCGCCCGGCCCCGAGAGCTACGACCCTTCCGTCCCCGCTCCCGGTGACTATGATGGGGAAGGGGACTACGACCCATCGCGTCCCGCCGAAGGAGACTACGCGCCAGAAGACCCGGCGTACGACCCCTCCCGGCCTGCGGACGGAGAGTACGAGCAGCCTGAAGAAGGGCCGTACGACCCCTCGGGCCCCGCTGGCGGGGACTATGCTTCAGCGCCTGCCGAGGAGGAAGGCGTGGTCGAGGGAGGGTACGATGCGACCGCGCCAGAGGAGGGATACGACGCGCCGCGCGAAGATTCCGCACCGGCCAACGGCACGCCTGCGCCCGACGAGATTCCCGCCGACACGGGCGCCGAGCCCAAAGTCCCCCTGCCCGAGGGCCTCACGGACGACTCGCCCAGTGTGGCACACAACTACGACCTTGTGCGGCAGTGGCGCCACGGTGAGACAATGACGCTGTCCACAAACTTACATCAGACCCCTCTGATCAGGCACTCTTGTTGTGGCTGTTCAACTGGGCCGTCGACAGATCAGAGGCTGCGGATGCGCGTGCATGGTACGCCGCGCTCGCTGTTGACAATCCCACGGCCGTATGTCCATACTCTGGGTCGCATGTATCGCTGACCTCAGTCTGGGCCCATGCTTGCGCTCATAAATCTCGAGCTGTCCTTGTCCAACTTCAAGGAAGTCGAGGATCTCTTTTCAAAGGCCCTGAGCAGTGCAGACACACTCAAGGCTGCAGCTGACATCAACATATGGAGTGCGTCCTTCCTACTTCTGGGACTTGCGCTGACATCCAGAGGCTTACCTCCACTACATCCGGCGGCAGAACCCGACCGACGGGGCCGACGCCGAGGCTGCACGCACGACTGTTACGCAGGCGTACGAGTATGCGCTCAAAGAGTGTGGGGTGGACCGCGAGAGCGGCGAGATTTGGCAGGAGTACATCACGTATTTGGGCGAGAATAAGACGCGCAATCCCTGGGAGCAGCAGCAGATTTCAGACAACATCCGCAAGATCTACCAGCGCGCGGTCGCGATCCCGCTCAACAACGTCGAGGCATTGTGGAAGAACTATGACGCGTTCGAGAGCGCGCAGAGCAAGGTCGCTGCCAAGAAGTACCTTGCCGACCGCTCGCCCGCATACATGACGGCACGTACCGCGCTGCGCGAGTGCCGGCAGCACACCGACTCGCTGCCGCGGCCTGAGCTCCCCCCGTTCCCCAACTTTAGTGACGGCGAGCGCCGCGTCGTCGGTGCCTGGCGTAACTACATCAAGTGGGAGGAGGGCAACCCGCTGCAGAGCGACGACGCGAGCCTCGTCGTGCAGCGCACCGATTATGCGCTGCACAAGTGCATGGCACAGATGCGCCACTTCCCCGAGCTGTGGCACTATGCCGCGACATACCACCTGAACGCCGGGCGGGCGGACGAGGGTGCGGCGTACCTCCGGGCCGGCGTCGCCGCGTGCCCCAAGAGCTTCCTCCTCTCCTTTGCCCTCGCTGAGCTTGAGGAAGACCGCAAGAACCATGCCGAGTGCCACAAGATCTTCGAGGCGCTCATCTCGAGCGTCAACGCCGAGGTTGATGAGCTGCAGGCGAGCGTTGCGGCCGAGGTGGAGCGCGCGCGTGGACCCGAGATTCCAGCGCAGCCAGGGGAGATGGACGGCGAGGAGAGCGACATTGCGCGTATGGTGCGCGAGCGCGACGAGCGCGGCAAGCGTGTCCAGGAACGGCGTGGGCGCGACATTGACGCGGCCCGGACCGCCGCGGGCACCGCATGGGTCATGTACATGCGTTTCGCGCGGCGCTCCGAGGGCCTCAAGGCTGCGCGTCTAGTCTTCGGCAAGGCGCGCAAGTCGCCCCACATCACGTGGCACGTGTTCCAGGCTAGCGCACTCATGGAGTACTACAGCAACAAGGACTCGTCTGTCGCCGTGCGCATCTTCGAGCTCGGCGTGCGCCAGTTCTCCGACGAAGTCCCCTTCGTCATCGGCTACCTCGAGTTCCTGCTGAGCATCAACGATGACACGAACGCGCGCGCGCTCTTCGAGCGCTCCGCACTCAAAATCCCGCCCGCGCAAGCCCGCCCGCTCTGGGAGACCTGGGCCCGCTTCGAATACATGCACGGCGACCTGGCGGCCGTGCACAAGCTCGAGGCGCGCTGGGCGACCGCCTTCCCCTCCGACTCGCCGCTCAAGCGCTTCGCGCAGCGCCACACCTATGCGGGCGTCGACGAGATCGCGCTGCGCGACCTGGGCCTGCGCGCGCGCCAAGCCGGAGCGCCCGCCCTGGCTGCGCCAGCACGCACCGCCGCCCCCGTCCCGCCCGCTGCGCCCCGCCGCCCCCTGCCCCCACACATGGCCCGCCCCCCCGTCCCCCCCTTCCCGCCACGCACCGCCTCCCCCCTCCCCTCGTCGCCGGCGAAGCGCGACCGCTCCCCGCCCCGCTCGCCGCG